GCCGCTGGGCTCTACCGACACTTCAGAAACTGGAGCGGAGAGTCTGTGGTCTACAGGCAGAGGGGTGGGCTGTGCAGAGGAGAACTGAAGGCCGAACCTCTGAAGGACCTGGCGCACCAAGTGAGACTGAGTCAAGGTGATGGTGCGCGATGCTCGGTCCCTGGAGATCTGCAAGCCAAGGTAACGGCGCAGTTCTCAAAGGTCAGTGCACGTGTGTCTCTTCAGCAGCTCTGCCTTCACTGATGCCAGTGTGTCCTTGTCTGCTGTGGCAAAGACCAGGTCGTTGACGTAAACAAGGATGTAGAACGGAGTCTGGCCAGCACGAACAAAGAGTGAGGGGTCTGCGGAAGACGGAAAGAACTGCAGGTCAGCAAGGGTAGCACGCAGCGTGTCGTGCCACTCACGGGGAGCCTGGCGCAGGCCGTAGACGGGGCGCCGCAGGAGCCACTGGGACCCAGGAGGGAAGGTGCCAGTAAAGCCCTGAGGGCGACGCAAGTAGACCTGCTCGTGTAGGCTGCCCTGAAGGAAGGCAGTAGAGAAGTCGAGGGAGTGAAGCTCGTAGTCACGCTGAGCACCTAGGTGTAACAGAACCCGAAGAGTAGTCATCTTCGGGGTCGGAGCGAAGGTCTGGAAGAAATCCACCCCCTCACGCTGATTGAAGCCTCTAGCCACGTAGCGCGCCTTGAACACAGGCGGCTCTCCAGGAGGGCGCTTCACCTTGAAGAGCCAGCGGCCATCGACTACGTTCACCCCAGGCGGGGGAACTGCGTCGACGAAGGTGCCGGTGGATCTCCAAGATGCCATCTCCTGCTCCATGGCAGCTATCCACTGCGAGGCCCAAGGTCCCGAGGTCGCCTCCATGACCAAACCGGCATGGATCATGGAGGTGCGAGCCACCTCCATGACCAAACCGATGCGTCGCTCAGCGACCCCATTCTGCTGTGGGGAGTCCGGTAGGGTGAACGTCTGGGTGATGCCCTCCGCACGACAAAAGCAACCAAGGACACCTGAGGCAAACTCACCACCACGGTCGGAGTGAAGGCGCAAGACAGGGAGACCTTGGTGGACACGGGCAGAGACAAGCCAGGGGATGAGAGCGGCAGGCACGTCGGCCTTCCGCTCCAGGGGAAAGACCGAGGTGTCGCGAGTGAAGTCGTCGACAAGCACAAGGAAGTAGCGCTCTCGACGCGGCCCATGGACGGGGGCGGGGCCCCAGACGTCCATGTGCAGGGTCTGCAGCGGCGCGGCGGTAGGGGGAAACGAGGAGGAGTGAGGGGCACGGCGAAGCCGACCCTCGACGCAAGGCGTGCAAGGTGGGGCTGGGGAGGAGGGAAAAGCGGGGAGAGAACCAGGGAGACCAAGGACGAGACCGTGCTGGGATATGTGACGCAGACGCGGGAGCGCAGGGTGATCTAGGCGGTGGTGCCAAAGGAGAGTCGGGTGAGTGAGGGACCGACAGGAGCAGGCAGCAGCAACCTGGGTAGACGCAGCCACCTGAGGGGGCGCCCCAGCCGGGGGGGTCACGGTGTCCAGAGTGAACAGGCCGGACACCGGGTCCTGGGGGAACGTGGACAGGGGGGCAGCAGTGGTGGCCTCGGTACAGACAGCATACCGCTCGTGACCAGGGAACGTAGTGGTGTCGCCAAGATCCTGAAGGCAGCCGACACCAACTAGGTTCCTGGAGAACGAGGGGATATGCAGACCTGTAAGAGAGCCCGAAGGAACCGCCGGACAGGGAAGGGTGGTGGAACTGCGGGCGACTATCGTACCGCCGGAGGGGTCAGCAAGAGAAACGGCAGCAGGAACAGGAAGCGGCGTCAGTGTAGTAGAGTCGCGGAAGAAGCACCGGGAAGCGCCAGAGTCCAAGGTGAAGGAAAGTGAAGCAGTGGCGTCTGGCGACGGGGCGACGGCGGAAGCACCAAGGCTAAACAAAGCAGGGGATCCTACGCCTGACGCAGAAACAATGGCATCCATGTCCATGTCAAAAATCTGAATCCTACGACAAAGCAAGCTGTGCCAGTCCGGGAGGTCTGGCGACGGACCGAAGCGCTGACGAAACAGGTCGTCCAGGCGACGAAAACAGCGCGGAGTGGTATGACCGAGCTTACTGCAAACGAAGCAGCGGCAGGACCGGTCTGGATCTGGTACTGACAACGCACGCCTCCCGAACCACCACTCGGCACACCACCACGCGCCCGACCACCTCCAGCGGCAGGCCACCCGGGGGGAGGACACTCGCCTGCCTCGTCTGCGGTGGCTGCTGCGGTTGCTGCGGAGGCTGCGACTGCTGCGACTGCTGCGGCTGCTGCTGCTGCTGCTGCGACTGCAGAGGCGGCGGCTCAGCTGGACTGGGCAGGGTCCCCTCGTCCGCTCCAGCACCAGACGACCCGACTCCACCACCACCCCCTCCTTTACCCCCGCCTCCTCCGCCGCGCCCAGCCTTGGGGCGGCGGCCCTTCCCCGAACGAAACTGCGCTGCAGCAGCAGTCTCAGCCACAGCGACAGAACCGTCGGAGAAGGTACACTGAGCTGGGGCACAACCCTGAAAGATAGGGACCGGCACGGTACCGCTCTCCTGGGCGATGGAGCGGTGGCGGGTCTCAATAACAGTCAGGGTGTCTACAAAGTCGGTGAGGGTGAGGTCACCGGGGTGAATGCTAAGGAAGCGGTCGCGGGCGGCGGCAAGGCGGCCAGGGAGGCGGGTGGCAAGCAGGTAGAGGGTAGAGATAATGGGCGGCTGGTGGGCTCTAAGCTGTGCGTCAATGCTGGTAGCGCGCCAGGTCTCATCTATCGAGCGCAGGTGGGCAGCTAGGTCAGAGACAGTGGGGAAAGACGCAAGGTCGGGAAAGAGCATCGGGAGGATCAGGCGACCCACCGAGGCAGCAGGAGGGGTGAATAGTGCTTGATGACAGCATCTAAGTAAGCGTGGGCGGTTGTGATGGACCTAAAGCGAGGGCGCTCAGACGGGGGAAGGGCATTGCTAATTGCAAGCTGAGCGACAGCGTCTCGGGAAAGCCAGATAGAGCGCGCAAGGGCAGTGGCTGCAGCAGACTCGCGCTCAGCGGGTGTGGGGTCAGCGGGCAGAACAGCAGGGGGGTCTGGGCAGGGGAGCGTACCGTCAAGGTGTGCGGAAAGCGGGTGGCCATCCTGCCGATGGCCAGTGAGGTGGCGACGGAGGTTGGCGAGCCACGCCTCGAACTCCAGAGGCTGGCCTTCAGCGTCGAAGCGAAGCTCCGCCGCCATCAGGAGCAGTGCAGGACTGTACAGTGCGGTGCAGTGCGGTGCAGGGCGGTGCAGTGCGGTGCAGGGCGGTACCGCGCAGTGTAGTGCGGTGCAGTGCGATGCAGTGCGGTGTAGGGCGGTGCAGTGCGGTGCAGGGATGGGGAACCGTACCAGGGAGGATGCAGGGCCGGGGCAGGGACGACGAGCGGGCCGCACACAGCTCGGGCCAGAAGCAGCGGGCACCAGGCCGGCTGGGACGGGCGTAGGGGCCGAGCAGACGGGCGCGGAGGTCGCGAGGGCGGGCGCGGGGCCGGCTGGGACGGGCGCAAGGCAGGCGCGGCGGGGCTAGGCAGGCGCGGCGGGGCCAGGCAGGTGCGGCGGGGCAAGGCAGCCGCGGCGGGGCCAGGCAGGCGCGACGGGGCCAGGCATGGCGCGACGGGGCTGGGCAGAGCGCGACGGGGCCATGCAGGCGCGGCGGGGCCAGGCAGGCGCGGAGGGGCCAGGCAGGCGCGGCGGGGCCAGGCAGGCGCGACGGGGCCAGGCAGGGCGCGACGGGGCTAGGCAGGGCGCGACGGGGCCAGGCGGGCGCGACGGGGCCGGGCAGGGCGCGACGGGGCCGAGCGGGCGCGACGGGGCCAGGCAGGGCGCGACAGGGCCAAAAGGCGTGACGGGGCCCAGAAGGGGCGGGGCTAGGGGGGGGCGCGACGGGGCCCATGATGGGCGCGACTGGGCTAGGGGGTCGCGACGGGGCCAGGAGGCGCGACGGGGCCCAGGAGGGGCGCGACGGGGCCCAGTAGGGGCGCGACTGGGCTAGTGGCGCGACGGGGCTAGGGGGTCGCGACGGGGCCAGGCGGGGGCGCGACGAGGCCCAGGAGGGGCGCGACGGGGCTAGGAGGCGCGACGGGGCCCAGCGGGAAGCGGCGGGGCTAGGAGGCGCGACGGGGCCCAGGGGGAAGCGGCGGGGCCTAGCTAGGGTACGGGCGGAAGCGGTAGGTGGGGGATCCTAACCTATGCGTGATACCATGTTAGAATGAGAACTGAATGATTTAGTAGAAAGAGAGTACATGTGAATATACCTAAGTGTTGTACCCTCTAAGAGGTGGCCCTATACAGTCTATGCAAACATAGGAGATACACATGTTTGACAGGCACTACTAGTCCAACCTATGAGGCAGGGGTTCGAAGACCAATCAGCAAGAGTACAAACAAGGCAAGAACAAACCAGGGCGGCACTACTAGTCCGGCCACTGAAAGAGAAGCCTTAAGGCCAGTCTGGAAGGTATAAATATAGAGGAGTACACCATTAAGGTCGTAGCAAGTGAGAGTCTACAAGAACAAGACCAAGCTGCAAACAGTGCAGCTGATGATCTCTAGGCGCAAGCGCCTTAGTAAAGATATCAGCTCTGATATCATGTTAGAATTCTTGAAAAAATAATTAGACAGAAGAGTGATCAAGTAAAATATAGGATTGGAGTTGGACTCTTTAAGAACATATACCTATCTAACTAATAACTTCTATATACTGACATATGTTTAAGTTGATACAAGGGTGTGAGGATGCCAAGGGGGTGTGTTAGATTATATATATATATATATATATATATATATAATGTTTGCTCAGCTTGGTAGGTGTGCTACTTGCTGAATATTACTGTAGAGGGGACAAACCCCTCTTCTTAAATCTCTACTAGTCCAAGCCCTTTTTCTCTCTTCACTTTTCTCCATGCCATTTCCATGGCTTCTCTCCTTACCTAGCTTCTCAACAACAGTGTACTAAGAATTTTTTGTCTAGCTATACAGAATTAAACACGTACCACTCAAGATCCCTCCTCAGTACATCTCATGTACACCCTACAGAGTCTACAAACCACTCCATGTCCCACAGGAACCCTCCTAAGGCGACAGCTTCGAGCAAGAGGTGTCTGAGCGTGCTCACTGTGAGCGTCACTGCGTCATCCTTCACCAGCGCCACTCCCTCCTCACTATGGAATAGAGTAGCTGCACTGCAACCCTAGGGCGTGGTGATCTTGAACCTCGAGTCCACAAATGACTCCACGTCCCACAGGAACCCTCCGAACGCAACAGCTTCGAGCACCAGCCGTCGGAGCGTGCTCACTGTGAGCCGCGCTGCATCGTCCTTCACCACCGCCACTCCCTCCGCGTTAGCCTCCACCTGGGGCTTGCCGAACAGAGCCTCTGTGTGCCGCTCAATCACCTCCACGCTCTCCCTGATAAGAAAAAAATCGGGGAAAAGCGATGGAGGTAAGGAGGAGGAGGGGAGGGGAACAGGGAAGGTGTGAATGACGCCTCGTACCAGCCAAGGCAGGCTTTGAAGAGGATCTTGAAGGAAGGCATGTCGCATTTTGCATTCTCCTCAGCTATCAGCCAAGCTGTCCAGGAGACCGCAGAGCTGGGCATGCCATCAGCCACTCACTCCTCATGCGACTCGTTCCCCAAATCGCTCACACTCCTCACCTCACTCACTCCCACCCCACTCACTTGCTTCTCATCGTGGCCGTCATCTGAAGAGTCTCCGAATCAAACGACTGCACATACGCCCTCAGCGTCCGCTCCAACTTCCCCTCCCCCTCTCCTTCCTTCCCCCCCTCCCCTTCCCCCTCCCCCGCGCTCTCCCCCTTCACCTCCTCTTCCTCCACCACCTCCTCAGGCGGAAACACCACCGCCTGCGCCCCCTCCTCCCCCTCCCCTTCCCCCGCTCCCCCCGCCCCCCCCATGAACCCCTTCAGCAACCCAATGCTCTTCTCCAGCTGAAACCGCTGGTCCACGCGCCTTAGAAAATACCCGTACATGATCGACGCGGCGTACACCTGCCCGAGCCGCAGCTTGCTGGTCCCCACCACTACTCTATCATCACTAATTAAAGCCGCCATGGGCCCAGTCGGCCGGGGACCGAGAATAGTAGCCAGGTGCTCTTTAACCATATCTAGAGCTTCCTCGGAGTGCACGCTAGAGAGCTCCTGCTCTTTGACGGAGACGGTGGGGACGAGGTCTAGGCCGAATGGTGACGTGGCGGCGGAGGGGAAGAGCGAGGAGGACGGGTCGACGGTCACGAAGGGGACCTTCGGGAGGAGCGGCGCGCCGGATTCGATAAACTTCTGGACTATTAACGCGTACATGACCTCCTTGATGGCGCGCATGCGCTCGTTGCTCCGCACCTCCGCCATTCGCCTGCAGCAAGTACACAGGGGGGATGGGAGTGGGGGAGGGCGGGGGAGGGTGGGAGGGGAAGGGGGAAGGAGGATTGGCAAGGGGGAGGGAGAGAGAGGGGGACGTCAAAGAATCGGCAAGGAGGCAAAGAAAAGTACGAACGCAGGTCAGGAGTGCGCGAGGAAAGGTGCAAGGGTGGTATTTTTCCATTTATTTTTCCCCATCACTTCGACCCTTGTCCGCTAGAAACAGTTTCTGTTAGGGAGGACATATTCCTTCCTCCGAAAACAGCTTCCCTCGAGGACAGCTTCTGCATGCCACTGTTAAAGCGCACCACTCACTTTCCGCACACTCCCTCGTTCGCACTCACTTGTAACGCGAGCGGGTGTCAACTCACTCGTACAGTACGACGTCACTTGTAACGCACATTACATTTACACTCACTTGTACAGAACGAGGTCGCTGCTCGACTTTTTCCCGCCGGCCTCCTTCGCCGCATCCGACGCCTCCGCATCCGCCGCGAGTTGCTCCAGCTGCTGCTCCGCCGCCGCCGGCACCAAATGCGGGTGCGACAGAATCAGCTGCTCGAGTAAAATCCCCGGGGGCGACTCGGGAGTTAGCGGCGCCGCCTTAGTAGATTTGTCTTGCGACTCGGGAGTGTTGTCTGAGGGGGACGGGCTTGACGAGGAGTCGGAAGCCGTGGCGAAGATTCGTGACATGTGGCGAGAGGAAGACGCGTTCATTTTGCGAAAGGCGGTTACTGCTGCTCGTGAAATTCGCAAGCCTGCGACTTCTGAGTTGATGGAATGGCACGACGTCATTGTCAGTTGACGGTTGCGGGCGGGGATGGTTCTGACGCCACCATGTAGAGCTGCGACGTGCGGGTACTGAAGCCGCTGAGCAGTCATGGACGAAGCATGCGCCATGAGACGAGTTCGTTGGGGTTCCGAGAGCTGTCCTCGTCGTAACACCACGATTATGGAAACGGACAAGTAATGAATCGGAGCTAGTGGTGCACAATTTTGTAATGGAGGCGACGTTCAGAAGCAAGCTTTCTGCACTACGGAAGTCGTCACAGACGGAAATTGAGGAGAACGAGACGAATTCCTGAACTGACAGATACAGTTGGAATTATGAACAAATATGTAAGGAATGGACGGGGAGTGTAGATGAGGAGGAAGCGGTACTGTACGGTGGAGGAGACCAAGATGACAAGACTCAGAGGCTGAGGCTGTGGCTGGAAAACCTGTCAGGCGACTGGCGGCGAGCGAACGGGTTGGCAAAAACGAAATTTCGAGAAACAGCCAGAGCACACGCAACCTCGCCACCAGCAAGAATCCCGTCTACGTGGAGATTTAACGACGTGTCCGGCTTTCTTGTCCAGTCGTCATGTGGAAATTACGGTTTTTTAAGTGGCACACGTGGATGGCTTGGTGATGCATGGGGATGACTGCGCACGTGGCGAGTATTGAGACGTCCACAACCAAACCGTCGAGTCGGAGTCAAGAGACTATTTCAGCTGTGCCCATGAATGATGTCTGTAGGCCAAAATTCCGGGCACCAAAGCTGCTGACATGATTGGGGCTCACTTGTGTAGCAGCACTTTCCGTACCGCTGCTTCTAGATACACGACGGGCACACCACACCGCTAACTGGATCCTCGTTTATCGCGAACTACGATGGTGCTGATCTGACACCAGAAGGTTTTGAAACCGTCAGATCCCATCCATCTCCCAGCAGCGTCATCCCAGTGGCGCACAACCGTCAGATGCATTCAGTCATTCAAACCAAACCCAAGTAACAAAACGCTGTACGCTGCCCCATGGCATTCTCAGACACCGAGCTACAATACTTGCATAACGTGTGTCACCGTACCACATCCCTCTCAAGCCTGGGTTCGGTTCACAGGTTTGCGCTCCCTCAGCCTTTCTCGTTCACATGATCCCCAGATGGTGGCACTGGTGTGGTGGATGGCATCTGGTTTCCTGATTTCCGAACCTCAACCGTACTGTATCATATCAAATCGTTTTTAAACCTATCAAACCGTGTAAAACCTGTGTGAAGATCCCAATGATCCAATACTCACGTTTGCACCAGAGGGCCTTGTGCAAGGAGGCGCCTATGGGAATTGCTGGAAGGGGATCCCCGATGAGTATTTCCCCACCACACTGTTATCTCTCTGTAACACTCTGTATCGTTCCAAACCGTGCCCCAGGCCCACTGATTGTGTGATCCTCGAGGTTCGTGATCCCAAGCCGCCATTCTCTTCCACAACAGATCTCCGCGGTCCTCCATAATTTCATTAGTCTCTATGTCAGAGTGGTCTCATGATATCAACTCCCACGACGATTATCCGAGTTTCACAAGCAGAGGCCTTCACTCACACCTCTCAGCCATGAGACAAACCCTCATCATTCTTCATGTCACTCACATACTCGGATATTTCTAGGTCGACTTATACGACGACAGAAATATAGTGAATCGTGGCCATTAGTCGACGATGAATCGCGGTCCGGGGTACTGGAGGGCCTTTAGGGGTTCCCGAGCAGCGTTTAAGAAGCATGCCAAGTACAGGGCTTGCCAGTCGATCCTCCTCTGCCTGCTCGTCTTCTTCGTCCTCCACGTCATTGTAAGCCACCGGAATCTAGAAGCGCCTCCCCTCTTGACGTTTCCTTTATCCTCCACTTCATCATAAGCCACCAGAATTTACATGCGTGATGGCCTTGATGCATCAGGGTGTTTTGGGGAATTCTAAGAAGCACCCTCCATTGCAAGCCACCGGAATTTGTAGGCGTGATCGCCTTACATGATCTGGTCGTTGCCAGCAGCAACGCTTTCGAACCCAATGGCGGTGTGACGAATCACCACACGGATGTTCAGAGTATGAAGCCTGGGGAGATTTGATTCTCCGTCAGACTCGATTGAAGTATCCTCTCTCACCTTGGCTCTGAAAACGCCGAAGGTCTTGGCTGCGACATAATCAAGCGCTGTGCTTTATCGTCCTGTAGACACATCACTTTTGCATTGGGGATCCGACCGCTACCTCGGTCCTGACACGCACTCGATACACGTACCCCTCACACGTTCTCATGATAACTACCCGCCGCGTGTCAGAGGCAGCGATTGGATGCGATCATGTGTCGGCGACACATACTCTTGTCATCCCGTGCCTGCACGAGATGGCCTCATGAATTCTGCATAAACGCGGCTGCTGGGTCGGCCCAGAACACGGGCTGAAAGCGTGAACTTGAAACCGTACGCGTGTCATGTCATCCCATCCCTGTACAGTTCACGTCGTCCGGGAGGCCCGCATCGACACAAGCGGTTAACAAGCTCAAGAGCCTCACCAAGAGACCAACCGAGGTATGCGAGGAGCGTGTATGCCTTTGTTACCACTAGTATGTTCTGGTTACAGCTAGCACGAGGTCTGCATCGACACAAGCGGTCAACAAGCTCAAGAGCCTCACTAAGAGACCGAATGAGGTATGCTAGTAGTATGCTTTTGGTACCGCTAGTATGTTCTGGTTACAGCTGGCATGCGCTGGCTGCGACTACCGCATCTCTTTACACTTTCCCCGGTTTCATGTTTTTTTCCTTATGTGCTGTTTATTCTCTTTGGTTGTTTCGTTGCTGCGACAGGCAGGAGCCAGAACCCATTTGTCCACAGCAACCCAGGCCATCCAACAGGAAATCAGTGAGCATTCGTCCATTCGAATCACCATCACCCGTTTCTTTCCATTTCTGAACTCCTTGTGTTTTTTCTTTTTCCCTGCATGAACTGTTCGTTCTGCCACATTCTGCGTCTGCCTCTAAACGCAACCTCGGTTTCGTTCCCTGTTGAACGGTGCAGATGCGAAGATGACTGAAGCCATAAGCATCACGGACGGTGCCAGGGCGACAATTGGCGGTGATGCAGGTGGTGCTGCGGAGCGGGGCGGAGCAGTAGGGGAAGTAGGAGCGGGAGGCGGAGAAAGGAGAAGCAGAGGTATGGGAAGCAGAGGAATGGGAAGCGGAGAGGCGGCAATTGGTGGGGTGGCAGCAGTGCATGCAGGGGGCACAGGCGAGGGATCCGGAGGAGGCAAAGGGCGGGAGACTGGGGCTAGAGGCGAGGGGTTTGGAGGAGGGAGGGGGGGGAGAGTGGGAGTGGTTCAGGGCACGGGGCAGGGGAAGGGAGCGAGGTGGAGGTGGAGGATGAGGAGGGGGATGGGGCGCACCACAGGGACAGAGGGTGGGAGGACAGCCGGGGGCAGGAGGATAGCCGGGGGCGGAATGGGACGGAGGGGGATGGTACCGAGGGGGACGATGTGGAGGGGCTAGGTGGGTCGACGCCGGACAAGCAGAGGGAGTTTGAGCTGCTAGAGGGTCTGCTTAAAAAGGAGATGGAATCTCAGGGCGCGGGGGAGGGCTCTGGTGGGGGGAAAGGGGGGGAAGCGGGGAAGGGGTCAGATAAGGGTGGGGACGATGAGGAGGAGGAGGATCCGGATGAGAAGGAGCAATGGGGCGAGGGGGGCGAGGGGGTGGGAGGAACGGGAGAGGGATTGAGAGAAAAGACTGTGCAGGAAGGGGCGGGGGAGGGTGGTGATGATGGCAAGGTGGCGTCTGAGTCGACTCAGGGTGGTACTGAGCCTGGGGTAGGGCCGGGAGAAGTGGAAGGTGCAGGGCGTGCAAGGGAAAGAGAGAGTGGGGGGGGGATGGGAACCGCGAGGGGGACAGGGCATGCGCATGCAACAGAGAAGGAGGAGGGAGGAGAGGCCGGGAGTGAGCACGAGCACGTGCACGAGCACGAGCACGATGAGATAGCGTCGGTGTTGAGAGCAATGGGCCATGCAGTGGGCGACGATGCTGCTGATGCTGCTGCTGGGGATGACGAGGAGCATCCGTCTGCCACTAGAATCTCTGGAGCCTCTGCTGCTGCTGCTGCTGCTGATGATGATGATGAAAACGGTGGCGCTGGTGCTGCTGGTGCTGCTGGGGCTGCTGGCGCTGCTGGTGGTGCTGGTTCTGCTGCTGGAACTGGGGGCCACAGCACGTTGCGTGAGGGAAACATAGAGCACTCCAGTGCGGCAATCAAGGAGCGTGGAGAAAGAGAGGAGGGGAAGAGGAGGGGGAGGAGGGAGAGGAAGAGGAGGAGGGCACGTCGGTGGCAGTGGAGAGGGGCCAGTCGGACCAGAGGAAGCAGCTAACTGAGCAGGAGGCTGCCAGGCGGAGTGTGGGGCTGACAGCAGACGGAAGGGTGGCAGCCAATAGTGGGGTGGCAGCAGGTGCAGGGCTGGCAGCAGGTGCAGGAAGCGAAATGGGAACGGCTGGTGCAGTAGAAACAGGAGAAGCAGCAGGGGCAGCCGCGAGGACAGCAACAGGGGGAGAAGGTGGGTCTGGGGCAGGAATAACTGGTCAGGGAGTGACTAGCTGGGGGGGATTATCGAGAGGCCAGGACCTTTCAGCGGCTGCTGAGAGAGGGGCAGGTGTGACTGGGACAGCTATGGCTGAAACAGGCGTGACTGGGACAGGTGTGACAGAGAGAGGGCAAGGAATGGGTAGCACAGAGCAAGTGGAAACTACAGGTCAAGGCGTGTCCGGGTGGGCGGGTTTGTCCGTAAGTGGGGCGGGTTCTTCTGGGGGTGGGAGGGTGGACTATGAGGAGCTAAGGAGGGCGGAGTTGATGCAGCATGGGAGGGCGCATTCGGTGGAGGAGGGAGAGAGGCAGCAGGCGATGCAACAGGCTTACCGGCAAGAGCGACTGCAGCGACACCAGCAGTGGCAGCAGCAGCAGGATGCGCAGCAGCAACAGATGCAGCAGCTGCAGCAGCAACAGATGCAGCAGCCGCAGCAGAAACAGATGCAGCAGCCGCAGCAGCAGCAACCACAGCACCAATTGCAGCAGCAGCAGCAACAGCAACCACTGCCGCAATGGCAGCAGCAACAGCAGCAACAGCAGGAGCAGCGGCAGCGACCTCAACCAGAACGGCAGTGGAAGCAGCAGCAATGGCAGGGTACTAGTATAGCAGGGACAGGGATGGGGACGGGGACGGGGGTGGGAACAGGGGCGGCGGCAGGGGCAGGGATAGGGGCAGGGATGACAGGAGAAGGGGCAGAAGGAGTGGCAGGAGGAGTGGTCGCAGCCGGTGGTGCTGCTGCAGGGCCGGTGATCTCCCTTGCCCACCCCGAGGACTTCCTGGGGGAACCTGAAGAAACACCTGAAGAGGCCCTGGAGAGCGCTGAGCGGAAAGCCAAGGCTGCCGCTGCTGCTGCTGCTGCAGAGAAAGGAGGGGAGGGGGGAGGGGGGGGAGAGGGGGAAGAAGGGGGAGCAGGAGGGGCGGGTGGGGGGAGTGGCGGGGAGGGGGCAGGAGAGGAGATGATGGGGGGAGGGGGTATGGGGGAAGGGGAGGACGAGGAGGATAGGATGCTGCTGCGAGGGGAGTTTCTCAAGGCCAGGAAGGAGAGCGAGCCTCAGCCACACAGAGGGGTGCCTGCTGCTGCTGCTGCTGCTGGTGCTACTGCTGGTGCTGCTGGTGGTGGCGCTGCTGGTGCTGCTGGTGCTGGTGGTGGTGGTGGTGCTAATGGTGCTACTGGCGCTGGCCGTCTTGCTACTGGTGGTGGTGTTGGTGGTGGTGTTGGTGTTGACACCGGGGCAGCATCTGGGCTTACCACTGCCGTTGGAGCTGGCTCTGGATTCAGTACCACGAGAGCAAGTGGGGTGTATGGTGGTGCGGGAGGAGGCACCTACGGCAAGGGTCCTGAGGAGGTTGTATCTGGTGGAGGTGGGATCATAGCAGCTGTTTCAGGGACAGGGACAGGGACAGGAGTAGAAGAAGCAGTAGAACGAGCAGGAGCAGCAGCAGGTGTGGGAGCGGCAGTGGGGACAGGAGCAGCAGGTGTGTCAGAGGGAGGGTTGCAGGCAGCAGCAGTGCAGGGGGAGGGGGAGGGGGAGGTGGAGGTGCCAGTCGTTGTGATTGTACTGAAGCCTCGGGTGGGCAAGTGTGCGCCAGGCACCGCTCTGCACCGTGTGCTGCAGGTACCTCCAGTTCCCCCGTAAGAGGTACCAGCAGGTACCTACAGGTACCTGCACGAACCTGCAGGTGGCTCCACATTAAAGCCCATCTAAGCAAGCCCGCCAGCGCAACAGCCGATGAGTCAGTCAAAGAAGCACCCACCCCGTCCTCCCCACTCGGCCCCGTTCAAATTTCCCCATCCCATAGCAAGCCCGCTTACTCAACAGTTGAGAACCCCCCAACACAACAACCCCCCAACACTATCCCCAAAGCAACCCCCCAACACAACCCCCCAACACAACCCCCCAACACAACCCCCCAACACAACCCCCACACAACCCCCCACCACAACCCCCCAACACAACCCCCCAACGCAACCCCCCAACAGAACCCGCCACCTTCCTTCCTACATACTGCAGCAAGCATGGGAGGGCAACAGCCGGTGCACCTATTGGGCGTTGGGGAGTGCGTCTCGAGTCACATCACAAGGCAAAGCCCCTTCTCTGCCCCACTCTCTCCCCCTTCTCTCCCTCCCTTGATCACAGCAAGCCCGCCAGCGCAACAGCCGGGTGCACCTGGTGGGCCCTCGGGAGTGCGCGCCAGCAGCATCCGCCATGGGGGTGGCTTTCTCCCGCTACTCCCTCTACAAGGATACCATCTCTGCCTTCCGCTCCGCCTTTGGTGCTCCCCGCACCGATTTGGTGAGCGTCTGCTCTCCGTGTCTCACAATGCACATTTGGTGCTCTGCTCTCTGTGCTGAATGGAGCACCCCCCTCTCCTGCTCTCTCTCTTCAACCACACCATCTCTGCCTTCTGCTCCGCCTTCGGTGCTCCCCGCACCGACCTGGCAGGCTCTCTTGGCACCGACCTGGTAAGCACTATGACCCGCTGCACTTCGTTGCGCTCCCCTGCTCCACCTCCTGCTGCTCTCCTCACGTGCCCCCCTTCCCTCCCCTCCCCACCTCTCCATGCTCCACTCTCCTCCCTTTCCCTCCCCCCCTCCCCTTTCTCTGATCCCAGGTGCGCTGGTCCGTGCTGCACGCCATCATGCATCGCAACAACCTCTCCCACGCTCTCCTTTGCCCCCTCTTCCGCGTCCGTCTCTCCCCCCCCCCCCCCCCCCACACCCCCCCCACCCCCCTACCCTTCAACCGATTCCAGCTGCGCTGGTTTGTCCTGCACGCCTTCATGCATCGCACCAACCACTCCTAGGCGCTCTTTCGCCCCCTTTTCCACCCCTCCCTGTTCTCTGATCCCAGGTGCGCTGGTTTGTCCTGCATGCCTTCATGCATCGCAACGACCTCTCCCACGCCCTCCACCTCTCTCCAGACGTCCTTCTCTTTGCCAACGCCACCGAAGCTGTCAACCAGGTATGGCACCACAGCTGATGGCTAGGTGTCGCATCAATGCTAGGTTCCGACTCCATCTCTCACCCTCCCTCCCCCCCGCTGCTCTCCATTCACCCCATTCCCACTCGAGACACCTTAATTGCTCTTGCATTCACTCTACATACCATTTTTTAGGTGCCTAAAAAAAGGGACCTCTTTATCTATTGCACTGACTCTGAGCGCCATGCTGTGCACCGCAGTTGCTTCCCCTCAATCCTCCTCCTCTCCGTACCCTCCACTGCGCCCTCCCTCCCTCCTCCCTGTCCCCTCTTTTTTCCCTCACTCCAACTTCCTTCCCATCCCCCCCTCCCCCAGTTGTACCTCCCCCACGAGCGCCACATCCTCCTCCCCCTGCCCTTCCCCGGCACGCGCCACCCCCGTCGCGCCACGCTGCCCCCGCATACCCCGGTTGAGGGGCACACGGCGGGGTGGTCCAGGGAGGGCCTGGCGGACTTCCTGAGATTCGTGCGCGCGTTTGTGGAGCGCGGAGTGCTGGAGGGAGGGGAGGGCACGCGAACAGAGAGAATGAAGAACCCGGTGAGTTGTGCACACATGTAGCTTGGGGTCAACACACCGTTTCAGCCGCTCACACCTTTGCAGCATACGTAGAGTGGGCCAAACACACCTTTCAGCCGCCTTTTGAGTCGACCCAAAAGTCACGCGAGCAGAGAGAATGAAGAACCCGGTGAGCTGTGCAGCAAGCGTGGATTGAAGGGCACGGCAACACACCTTTTCAGCCGCTCACACCGTAGCCCCACGCTGCCCCATGCTTGAGTGGTGTGCGCACCATGTGTGCTGGCATGTGTCCCTGAGGGGCCTCAGCCCATGCATGCATCACCTCTCTCCCAACCCCCTTTCTCCGTCCCCCAGGACTACTCGGATGCCACCATGCTGGGATGGTACGCGCGCCAGGCATGCTGGCATGCCCCTGAGAGCCCTGAGGCGTCCCCTGCATGTGCGGCGGAGCCATGCTGTGGCATCACTCGGGAGAGAGCTGCAAGACTGGCCGGCCAATTCACACCAAGGTAAGGGAGGGAGGAACGCAGGTGGTACGAGGAATGCAGGTGATACGAGGAATGCAGGTGATACGAGGAATGCAGGTGATACGAGGAATGCAGGTGATACGAGGAATGCAGGTGATACGAGGAATGCATGTAATTCATGGAAGCATGGGTGTGTGTGGGGTGGTGATGAGGCGTCCCCTGCATGTGCGGTGGAGCCATGCCATGGGTGGAATCACTCGGGAGAGAGCTGCAAGGCTGGCCAACCAGTTGGCAGCGAGGTGAGAGAGAGGGGAGGCACTGGTAGTAGATGGTCCCTGCCTAGACGTCCGCTGCATGTGTGGTGGCGCCCTGCTGTGGGGTCACTTGGGCGAGAGCTGCCAGGCTGCCCAACCACTTCACGCCGAGGTGAGCGAGGGGGCAACTCACGTGCGTTTCAGTAGAGGGGAAACGGGGAGGAAGTGGAAGGGACATTGAGGGGGAAGGGGAGAGAAGGAAGTGGGGGGTGGAGGGTGGAGGGTGGGGGGAGAAGGAAGTGGGGGTGGAGGGTGGAGGGTGGAGGGTGGAGGGTGGAGGGTGGGGGGGGGAAGGGGAGGGAGGGGGGAGTGTTCTCAAACCTTGCATTTGGGTCGTGCATTGCAATATCCAGGTGCTCGTCATCTCCCTTCCCCAATCCTGTCCAGGTTCAATGTATCAAGCTTGCTTCAGCCTCGTCGATGCCGAGCCACGCCATGGTCGGACGATGGATGGTGTGTTTTCTCGGTCTATCCCTTCTCTCCTTCCGCAAGTGACACATCGGCATCTGGAGGGCCCTTCCAGCCAGCTCAGCGCCTCTCATTCCATTCCAAACTAGGCATGAAGACTCCGCGCTCAGCTAAGTATCGCTACTTCGCGCTTTGGAAGCCACGGGGGGGAGAGGGAGAGGTGGTGAAAAGCCCAGGGCCGAACGGGGTGCAGTTTTTGTCAGTGCGTTTTGCTGGTGAAGCTGCAAGTCAAATAAGCGCAGACCCGGAAACGACGTGGGGAGCTGCTGATTGGTCCAATGCGAAGCTGCTCGGACTTTCACAATTAGGAGCTGAAGCGGTGGAAAGGATGAGGTATAAATATTTGTGAGGTGTTACCAACTACACATTTCCTGTCTCTGAAGCTCTGCCCTGTGGTGAACGCAGTCAAGTAATCGAGCCGGAGGGCATCGCGTACGTGTCTCTCAGGCTCAACAGCTCTGGTCAAGCCCCGCGCCACGTCAGCGGCAAGAGAGTATAAATTCCCCGCATATCTCGGCTACAAAATGCACAGCGTGGCGGCATTAGCCGCCAATACAGCACGCGCTGGCCAAACACCAACGTAGACCTGTCTACTTTCCACGTCGGCAGGACAAAAGCGTCCAACACGATCGACGCCACCCCAGTCCAGCCAGAGTAGCTTGACACTGCCTGCAAGAGAATGGACGGTCAGGAGCCTTCGCGAGTGTTGACCCTACTTTTATTGTCGTATTGTCTCCAGACGAACAGTTTGCGATCGACCTGATTCGCAAGATTCATTGTGCGACGAATTCGCCTATCGTTTCGCAAAAGCTCAACCTGCGAGGCCAACCACCCACCTCCTCCGTTGCACCACCTTTTTAGGGGCAGCCACTTATACTCCCATACCTCTGAAGATCCCATCGCTGGCCGTTTCTATTTCGAGTTTCAACCAAGGCCCTTGGTAGCGGTTTCTGCTGCGCGCACAGCGCAGCCCTTCGGTTGGAAGTCGCTTTAGGACAGAGTAAGCGGGCTACGCTCTCCTAAAACAAGCTTGTCACTATGGCATCGTCGCTCGCTGCGGCCTGTGGCGGCTCTGACGTCATCGTTCCCGCTCGTGCGCAACCGTTTTCTTCGCGATGCTCGCACTCGTCGCCGTCGGCCATCGCAATAGCTCAGGGACGTCGCACGCTGCCTGACGCCTGTCGCAGAACGAGTTTCTGGGGATCTCGAGATTCGTTCGAGACCAAGAAATCTCCTAATACCAAGATCCCAAATTTCGGGCGCCATGCGGCTAGATTGACGGTGGCGCGCGCGGAGGGTGATGGCGCAGCGGAGACCGGCGGAACGGGAGCGGGAGGGGCTGGCAGGGCCGCTTCTGGAGCGGCAGCGTCGAGCGACTCGTTCCTGGGGATGTGGAAGCGCGCGCAGGAGAAGGAGCGCGAGGCGGTTCGAGAGGCCGAGGCGCGGAAACGCGCGGAGGAGCAAGGCGCGGCGGCGCAAGCGCAGGGGCAACCGCAGGCGCAGCAGCAAGGGCAGGAGAAGCAAGCGGAGAAGAGCGTGGACGAGCTGAAGCAGCTCGAGGCGCAGTTCCTCCAAATCCTCGAGGTACGTTCGGCAAAATTTAGTAACGGCAAAATCAAGGTACGGCGAGATCTAGGTACGGCGAAATCTAGGTACGACTATATTGAGTTAAGTGAATATGTAGGTATAGGAAGCTCGAGGCGCAGTTCCTTCGAATCCTCGAGGTACGGCAATCACGACGTAGGGCAATATGGAGGTCCGGCGAACTATACGTTCGGCAGTATTGAGTTACGGGAATGTCTAGGCCAGGGAATGTCTAGGTGCGGGAAAATCGAGGTTCGGGAATATCGAGGTAACGGCGCCCAAAGTACGGAGGAGTGAAATAATAATAGACAGAACAAATATGAAATAAAACGACAGCGCTGGCCGCAGCGCGCGTACTGCTCGCATTTCTTTCAGTCAACTGTAAACCCGAGACAGGAAAGCGCTTTCGCTCCTAATTCCCCCTCCCCCCGCGCACTCCTCCTTTCACACGAGGCGCCTCAGGTTTCGGTAGAAGTGCGCCAGGAGGCGGAGCGGAAAGCGCTGTCGACCGAGCATCAGCGGCGCGCGCATTGCTGGTGGACAAAGGAGTGCGCATTGACTCATGCCCCCATTGACTCATGCCCCCATTGACTCATGACCCCATTGACTCATGACCCCATTGACTCATGACCCCATTGACTCATGACCCCATTGACTCATGACCCCATTGACTCATGCCCCCATTGACTCATGACCCCATTGACTCATGCCCCTTCCCCTCTTGCTTGTTCCGATGCCAAAAGAGGTTCGCCAGGAGGCGGAGCGAAAAGCGTAGTCGCGTTGTCCACCGAGCAGGAGCGGAGCTGGCAGCGGCGCGCGCATCGCTGGTGGAGGCGGAGGAGCCAATCGACTCACGACCCCCCAAACACCCCCCCCCCCCCCCCCCCCCCCCGCCTCCCCCCTTCCCCCCCTTCCCCCACCCTCCCTCCCTCCCGCCGTTTCCGATTCAGGTACCTAAGGAGGTGCGCCAGGAAGCGGAGCAGAAAGCGGTGGTAGATCGCACTGCAGCCGCGCTGGCGTCTGCGCGCGCGCTGCTTGTGGAGGCGGAGGAGCGCCTTGGCTCACTAGTTTCTCCGCTCCTTCTCCTCCCCCCCCCCCCTCCCCCGTCCCCCTCCCCCGTCCCCCCTCCCCCTGTGGCGTTGCAGGTGCCCAAGGAAGTCCGCCAGGAGGCGGAGCGGAAAGCAGTAGTCGACAGGGCCGCGGCGGCGCTGGCGGCGGCGCGCGCGCTGCTGGTGGAGACGGAGGAGCGCGCGCGCAAGGAGCGGCAGGCGTCCAGGGGTAGACGGCTGGCGGGCGCGGGGGACGCGGGGGCGACGAGTAGCGTCTGGGGCGGCAAGTCCTTGTCTGTAGTGAAGGAAAAGGGCGGGAAGAAGGGCGGGGAGGGGAAGGGGGGGGCAGGAGGGGCACCGGTAGCTGCAGCACCAGTGAGTGGAACGGGTGCAGCAGCAACAACAGCAGCAGCAGCAGGAGGAGCAGGGGGAGGAGGAGGAGGATTAGGGGGCTTGTGGAAAGCCATTCCTAGCCGCGCTAAAAAGACTTCTCCCTCCTCCTCCTCCTCCTCCTCCTCCGCCTCAGTCGAAGCGGTGGCAACACCAACAGCGAAGCCCGCTCCCGCTGCCAAGCAGCAATCTTCAGGTGCTTCTTCAGGTGCTTCCAGCAGTCCAGGCCCCAGCTTCTGGGAGTGGGCCCCTCCGTCCGAAAGCACTCCTGCCCGTGGTGCGGCTGCTAGTCCCCCCAAGCTGCAGCCCGCTGCCCCTAAACCTGCCCAGCGGGCCACAGTGACCATAGCCGACCCCCAACCGCAGCTGCTGGAAGCCCTGCTGCTGCCCTTTGAGAGCGCCGTCGCCCCCACCAAGCCCGCCAATGCTGGTGACGCTGGTGGCAGCGCTGGCGGGATTGGCGGGGCTGGTGGTGCTGGTGGTGCTGGCGCTGGTGGTGCGGGTGCATCTGCTGCGAGTCCGACTTCTGTAGCGTCGGCAGCTGCGCTTGATCTCGCTTCCTCCTTCCTCAACCTCCCCTCCTCCTCCTCCTCGTCCGACTTGGGTCTTCCTCCTCTCCAGTCCGCCCTCGAGGCTCAGCGCGGGATCAAAGAGGCTCTCCAAGCCGTCTTTGCTTCGGACGCTGCCGAGCCTGCAGTCGACGGAGCTACGGTGGCTGCGGACGGGTCGCGGTGGTGGAAGGAGACCGGGACGGAGGTTCGGGAGGGCGGGGAGGTGTGCGATTGGACGGTGGTGCGGGGGGTGAGTGCGGATGGGAAGGTGGAGTGGGAGGAGAAGTGGTGGGAGGCCAGTGATGAGTTCGACTTCAAGGAACTGGGAGCGGAGAAGTCGGGCCGGGATGCCAACGGGGGGGTTTGGCGGGAGACATGGAGAGAGGCCACGTGGCAGGACTCTAAGACTGGGCTGATGCACATTGAGAAGACGGCGGACAAGTGGGGGCAGAACGGGCAGGGCGGCGCTTGGCACGAGAAGTGGTGGGAGCACTACGACGCGACGGGGCGGGCGGAGAAGTGGGCTGATAAGTGGAGCAAGATTGATATGTACACGCCGCTGGACGATGGGCATGCGCACGCATGGCACGAGAGGTGAGTGGAAGGGGGCGGGGATGTGTGGGTGTGCGGGTATGTGTGATGATGGGCATGCGCACGCATGGAACGAGAGGTGAGTGGAAGGGTGGGGAAGAGGGGACATACACAGGATAGAACAGTGGTGGGAGCACTATGATGCGACGGGATGGGCGAGAAATGGGCGGACAAGTGGAGCAAGATTGATACGTACACGAGGTTTCCTTGCATTCTATCTCGCATCTGGCAACCAGCAGTAGTTTGAGTCGACTCAAAAGACACGTGGACCAAGAGGGTCAAGAGGGTCAAGAGGGTCAAGAGGGACCAAGAGGGGGGACAAGTGGGACGAGAAGGGCCTTGTGAGCCGGGTTTATCCAACTGCAGTCCTTCCCTTGCCTTCATTTTTGAGGCGCCTCAAAAGCCGGGTTTATCCAACTGTATTCCTTCCCTTGCCTTCCCCCTTACTTTTGAGGCGCCTCAAGAATAGACTCCTCACGCATGTTTTGAGGTGCCTCAAGAATAGACTCCTCACGCATGTTTTGAGGTGCCTCAAGAATAGACTCCTCACGCATGTTTTGAGGTGCCTCAAGAATAGACTCCTCACGCATGTTTTGAGGTGCCTCAAGAATAGACTCCTCACGCATGTTTTGAGGTGCCTCAAGAATAGACTCCTCACGCATGTTTTGAGGCGCCTCAAAAAGAGACTCCTTCCCTTGCTGTCCCCCTTACTCACCAGGTGGGGGGAGGAGTACGAGTACGACGGCAGAGGAGCAGCGTCCAAGTGGTGTGCCAATTGGCCTTCACACCATCCCAATTCTCCCTTCCTTCTCTCCCCTCCCCTCCCCTCCCGTACGCCAGGTGGGGGGAGGAGTACGACGGCAGGGGAGCGGCGTCCAAGTGGTGTGACAAGTGGGCGGAGCGGTTTCAGGGCCACGACGGGTACGGGCAGGAGCAGTGGACCAAGTGGGGTGACAAGTGGGATGAGAAGTTCAACCGCGACAAGACGGGGTTCCGCCAGGGGGAGACCTGGTGGCAGGGCGCAGGGGGCGACGACGCGCCGCGGTGGAACAAGGTTTGGAGCGAGGGGCACGACGGGTCCGGGTGGGTGCATAAGAAGGGGGGGGCCAGCAGCGGGGAGGGATGGGATGTGCGCGAGTGGATGGACACTTGGTTCGACGCGTTCCCGCACTTTGGGTTCAAGCACTGCCTGGAGAACTCGAGGCGGTTGATGGAGGTGGGGAGGAGGCAGGCGAGGAAGAAGCAGATGTAAGGGGGAGGGGGAGAGGGTGGGAGATGGGTGGGGATTGCGTTGGACTGTAGCCCTTGCCGCACTTGGGGTTCAAGCAGTGCATTGAGAACTCAAGGCAGCTGTTTGGGGTGGGGAGGAGGCAGGCGAAGCAAGAGCGAATAGTCCAGTGGATGCTCCGGTCTGGTGGATGGGGCGGTCTGGTGGATGCTCCGGTCTGGTGGATGGGGCGGTCTTGACTCCGGTGGTCATGTGGCAGGCGAGAAGGCATTTGCATTGTGGCATGGAGTGGTGCACCCTGCTTGCACGCCTCTGTGAACATGCTGTTGGATGCACATCTGGTTGTGATGAGGGTATGTTGGATGGCTGGTTGGAGAGGTACACGTTGATTGCGCATGACTACAACAGTTTTTTATATTTCTGTGCATCCTAATGTGATGCAGTGCACTGTGTTACTGCATATACAACTGGTTTTCTAGATTTGGTACATTGTGGCTTGAGCAATCTCATCTTATAGCGAAGCTTGTGCCTATTCTGTTTAGTCAGTAAGGGGGGTGATACCTTCCCTTACACCTACCCTAAGCCCGCCTGCCACTGCATTAGGCTTCACAGTCCCCTGTATGCTGAGGTGGTAAGGAAGGAGTCTCAAACCCAACCTATTCCTTCTTGCCTATGCCAACGACCTTGAAGGTGCCATACGCCGTGGCTCCCAGCAGGAAGACAGCCACAGTGGGGGAGAAAGCAGGGTACACCACATCCATGGCAAACTGGTCCAAGTCCTCCGAGAGGAAGCCTGGTCAGGTGGAAGCGACAGGATGGGGGGCAAGGGGAGAGGAGAGAGTTGGGGTGTTGAGATGGGCATGAGAGAAAGCAGGGCGCACCACATCCATGGCAAACTGATCCAAGTCCTCAGAGAGGAAGCCTGAGAGGATGGACGGGAGGAGGGATGAGAGGAGGGAAGAGAGGAGGCATGAGAGGAGGGAAGAGAGGAGGGATGAGAGGAGGGAAGAGAGGAGGGATGGGAGGAGGGAAGAGAGGAGGGATGAGAGGAGGGAAGAGAGGAGGGATGAGAGGAGGGAAGAGAGGAGGGATGGGAGGAGGAATGAGAGGGGGTGGAAGAGAGGGTTGAAATGGGAAGCCCCCACGCGCATGAGAGAAGGCAGGGCGCACCACGCCCATGGCCAACTGGTCCAAGTCCTCTGAGAGGACGCCTGAGCGGAGGGACGGGGGGGGAGGGGGAGAGGTTTGAGAGGATGAGATGGGATGGAGAGAAGGGCGGACGGGAGGCGGGGTTGAGAGGGCAGGGCACACCGCGTCCATGGTGAGCTCCATGGTGAGCTCCATGGTGAGCTCCATGGTGAGCTCCATGGTGAGCTCCATGGTGAGCTGGTCCAAATCTTCTGAGACGAAGCCTGGGACGAGGGGTTTAAGGGGAGGCGAGAGGGTTGAGATGGGATGGAGAGAAGGGCGGATGGAAGGTGAGATGAGAAGACTCAAAGATCATTTTGAGTCGGCTCAAAGATCATTTTGAGTCGGCTCAAAGATCATTTTGAGTCGGCTCAAAGATCATTTTGAGTCGGCTCAAAGATCATTTTGAGTCGACTCAAAGATCATTTTGAGTCGGCTCAAAGATCATTTTGAGTCGGCTCAAAGATCATTTTGAGTCGGCTCAAAGATCATTTTGAGTCGGCTCAAAGATCATTTTGAGTCGGCTCAAAGATCATTTTGAGTCGGCTCAAAGATCATTTTGAGTCGGCTCAAAGATCATTTTGAGTCGGCTCAAAGATCATTTTGAGTCGGCTCAAAGATCATTTTGAGTCGGCTCAAAGGTCATTTTGAGTCGGCTCAAAGGTCATTTTGAGTCGGCTCAAAGATCATTTTGAGTTGGCTCAAAGATCATTTTGAGTCGGCTCAAAGATCATTTTGAGTCGGCTCAAAGATCATTTTGAGTCGGCTCAAAGATCATTTTGAGTCGGCTCAAAGATCATTTTGAGTCGGCTCAAAGATCATTTTGAGTCGGCTCAAAGATCATTTTGAGTCGGCTCAAAGATCATTTTGAGTCGGCTCAAAGATCATTTTGAGTCGGCTCAAAGATCATTTTGAGTCGACTCAAAGATCATTTTGAGTCGGCTCAAAGATCATTTTGAGTCGGCTCAAAGATCATTTTGAGTCGGCTCAAAGATCATTTTGAGTCGGCTCAAAGATCATTTTGAGTCGGCTCAAAGATCATTTTGAGTCCGCTCAAAGGTCATTTTGAGTCGGCTCAAAGATCATTTTGAGTCGGCTCAAAGATCATTTTGAGTCGGCTCAAAGATCATTTTGAGTCGGCTCAAAGATCATTTTGAGTCGGCTCAAAGATCATTTTGAGTCGGCTCAAAGATCATTTTGAGTCGGCTCAAAGGTCATTTTGAGTCGGCTCAAAGATCATTTTGAGTCGACTCAAAGATCATTTTGAGTCGGCTCAAAGATCATTTTGAGTCGGCTCAAAGATCATTTTGAGTCGGCTCAAAGATCATTTTGAGTCGGCTCAAAGATCATTTTGAGTCGGCTCAAAGATCATTTTGAGTCGGCTCAAAGATCATTTTGAGTCGACTCAAAGATCATTTTGAGTCGACTAAAAGGTAATTTCTAGTCGGCTCAAGAGAGGGTTGAAATGGGATGGAGAGAAGGGCGGATGGAAGGTGGAGACGAGAAGGCCGAGCGCGCTGCGTCCATGGTGAACCGGTCCAAATCTTCTGAGAGGAGGCGTGGTCAGGTTGGAGGGACAGCATGGGAAGACTGGAGGGGAGAAGGCATGGGAAGAGGGGGTTGGGGTGATGAGATGGGATGGAGAGAAGGCAGGGATGAGATGCACATCCATGTTTTGAGGCGCCTCAAAAATAGACTCCTCAAGCATGGGATGAGACGCATATCCATGTCGAGCTGGTCCACGTCTTTTCACAGGAATCGTGCGGTTGAGGCATGGGAGGGAGTAGAGGGGGGAGCTACACGTCGCACGTTGGGATGAGGGGAGACTTAGGCAAAATACGCCACGCCACATCCCGACCCGATTCCCATACTTCCCCTACCCGCCATCCTCCATTCCCCACCGCCCAACCGCCCCGCCACCCCGTTTTCCCCCATACCCCACCATTCTGTGTCTTCCCACCTCCCTCTATCCGCACCTCCCTCTATCCCCAACTCCCTCTATCCGCACCTCCCTCTATCCGCAACTCCCTCTATCCGCACCTCCCTCTATCCGCAACTCCCTCTATCCGCAACTCCCTCTATCCGCACCTCCCTCTATCCGCAACTCCCTCTATCCGCAACTCCCTCTATCCGCAACTCCCTCTATCCGCACCTCCCTCTATCCGCAACTCCCTCTATCCGCACCTCCCTCTATCCGCAACTCCCTCTATCCGCAACTCCCTCTATCCGCACCTCCCTCTATCCGCACCTCCCTCTATCCGCAACTCCCTCTATCCGCAACTCCCTCTATCCGCAACTCCCTCTATCCGCAACTCCCTCTATCCGCAACTCCCTCTATCCGCAACTCCCTCTATCCGCAACTCCCTCTATCCGCAACTCCCTCTATCCGCAACTCCCTCTATCCGCAACTCCTCTTCCCCTCTATCCGCAACTCCCTCTATCCGCAACTCCCTCTATCCGCAACTCCCTCTATCCGCAACTCCCTCTATCCGCAACTCCCTCTATCCGCACTCCCTCTATCCGCACCCCCCCCAACTCCCTCTATCCGCAACTCCCTCTATCCGCAACTCCCTCTATCCGCAACTCCCTCTATCCGCAACTCCCTCTATCCGCAACTCCCTCTATCCGCAACTCCCCTCCCCTCCTCTATCCGCAACTCCCTCTATCCGCAACCCCCCCCCCCCCCCCCCCCCCCTCCCTCTATCCGCAACTCCCTCTATCCGCAACTCCCTCTATCCGCAACTCCTCTATCCGCAACTCCCTCTATCCGCAACTCCCTCTATCCGCAACTCCCTCTATCCGCAACTCCCTCTATCCGCACCTCCCTCTATCCGCAACTCCCTCTATCCGCAACTCCCTCTATCCGCAACTCCCTCTATCCGCAACTCCCTCTATCCGCAACTCCCTCTATCCGCAACTCCCTCTATCCGCAACCTCCCCTCTATCCGCAACTCCCTCTATCCGCAACTCCCTCTATCCGCAACTCCCTCTATCCGCAACTCCCTCTATCCGCAACTCCCTCTATCCGCAACTCCCTCTATCCGCAACTCCCTCTATCCGCAACTCCCTCTATCCCGCAACTCCCTCTATCCGCAACTCCCTCTATCCGCAACTCCCTCTATCCGCAACTCCCTCTATCCGCAACTCCCTCTATCCGCAACTCCCTCTATCCGCACCTCCCTCTATCCGCAACTCCCTCTATCCGCAACTCCCTCTATCCGCAACTCCCTCTATCCGCAACTCCCTCTATCCGCAACTCCCTCTATCCGCAACTCCCTCTATCCGCAACTCCCTCTATCCGCAACTCCCTCTATCCGCAACTCCCTCTATCCGCAACTCCCTCTATCCGCAACTCCCTCTATCCGCAACTCCCTCTATCCGCAACTCCCTCTATCCGCAACTCCCTCTATCCGCAACTCCCTCTATCCGCACCTCCCTCTATCCGCAACTCCCTCTATCCGCAACTCCCTCTATCCGCAACTCCCTCTATCCGCAACTCCCTCTATCCGCACCTCCCTCTATCCGCACCTCCCTCTTGACTCCCCCACCCTATGCCTCAGATTTTTGAGTCGGCACAAAAGTTTTCCTCTGTATTTGCTACTCCCTATCAACTCCCACGTCCCATCCCCCGCTTCCCCGTCCTCCTGCCACTGTTGCTCCGCTTTTTCGTCCTCCACTGGTTCTCAGCGACTCCCATAACTTCTCACCACTTCTCACCACTTCTCTCACCGCTTCCCACAGCTTTTCACCGCTTCCCCTCACTGCTGAACGCGAGTGTGAATCCTAGCGCCCTTACAATCCCTTGCCTCTTCCCATTCCTCAGCTCCCTCCCCCTCCCCCTCCCCCCCCCGACCCTCCCCTTCCCAGCAACGCTCCCACAGAAGCACCAACCGACAATCCCCCCCACAGAAGCACCAACCAACAATCCCACCCATAGAACCAGGTTACTTTTAAGTCGACCCAGGAAGACTCGGGCAATCGGGCCAACTAGCGATTCCCCTCCATCCCCTTCCCCTCCCCCCATTCCCCTCCATCCCCTTCCCCTCCCCCATTCCCCTCCATCCCCTTCCCCTCCCCCATTCCCCTCCATCCCCTTCCCCTCCCCCCATTCCCCTCCATCCCCTTCCCCCCCCCCTTCCCCTCCCCCCTTTCCCTCCCCCCTTTCCCCTCCCCCCCTTCCCCTCCCCCCTTCCCCTCCCCCCCTTCCCCTCCATCCCCTTCCCCTCCTCCTCTTACCCAGGGTCCCCTCCCTCCCTCATTTCCCTGCCATGCGCCTACCTTCAGCAGCAAGGAACAGACTCCCCACAACGATCAGAGGGGACGCGAGTCCTAGCGACGAACAGACGCCGCCACGGCCGTCTCGACTTACGCTATTTCAGGAATCTCGACCCCCAAAATGCCACCCGTACTTCCCGCACGCCCAACAGCCCTTCAGTTCAGCCCTCACCACTCCCCCGCAATGCACGTACCAGCAGCGGCGAGGAAGAGCCCTCTAGGATAATGAGGAGAAACGCGGATTCTAGCAACACCAGCACGGCCGTCTCGATCTCCGCCTCCCGCTGCTCGATCTCACGCACCTCGACCACCAAATGTCACTCTCATACCCCCTATCCCCCCCCCCCCCAATTCCCCCCCCAGTGCAACGCACGTACCGGCAGCGGCGAGGAAGAGTCCCTCTAGAATGATGAGAAGGAACGCGAACCCCAGGGACACCACTACGGCCGTCTCGATCTCCGCCGCTTGCTTCTCCTCCTCGCCCATCGGCTTCGTCGACAATAGCGGCTGGGTCGGCGCCGCCCGCCGAACCACTGCCGGCTGCGGGGCCTTCCCGAAGCCCTTGCCAGCCGCTGTCTTGTCGGCCGCCGCTGGCGTGGTGTCGGAGGCTTGGGACGGTTCAGGCTCGGCGGAGGCTCGGATGCCTACATGCCTGGTTGGTCCGAACCGAACCGAGACACTTGAAGCGGGGTTTGGCAGAGCCCGGGAAAGGCGGCATTGTGAAGATGAGAGGGATGCAGGTGATTGGCGGAGAGGGAGTCGCGTGAGAGACATGGTGGCCGCCATGGGGTGAGAGTATTAGGAACACAGGCCTTAGCTAGCGGCTGAATCAGCGTAGCGACTGGATAAGGCGGTCTTCGCGCAAATGCCTAGCCCCAAATGTCGAGGTCCGTGAAGGAGCTACACGTGTCGTGTTCCACACTAGACTCCTAACGGGGATGCTTACGCCGAACCAAGCAATGGCATCGGGAGTTACGAGCTTGAGAATGTGAGCCTAGACTAGATTCTAGAAAAGGCCTGAATGTGTGAAAACTATCCCCCTACTCTGGAGGGAGTGTTCTCGAACAGATTTGAAAATAAAAACTTCAGACAAACTGAAGGGTTGCTCCAAATACACAACCTCGTGTCATGGGATAGGCGTGACTGACACCGCTGGCACGGGATAGGAGGGACAGACTGATTAGACTGTTCGTCCAGTATGAGGCTAGGAAACAGGGACTTGGATTCATTCCTGTTTTTGGATGAGTGTGGTTTGGACGAAGGATTTCGCGCGCCAATGGGCGTAAAGGGCGCGGATACATCAAGCTCGTAGCCCGTCTTTAGATGCTTCAGTACACGGGCATCGGACATCTTACACAACAGAACAAGCACTAAGTCTCACATTCCAAGAGGAAAACAGCTGAATGAGTAGAGACCGCGCTAGTCCCCCCTACATTTCACTGCACATAGCCCTGTGTGGAGTGCAGCACTGAAGCCATTTCTTGGTACAGATGCTTGCCCATCCTAAGCCCTGCCTCCATTTCGCGAGCAGGCAAACATCATTCTGTTTCATGCTTCTTAGGAGTCTCGCTCTGCCCTTCTTCCCTCTTATCCAGCCCAGGAGCGAACTTCCGTCCTGCTCGTTCACCAGTAACCTGGCCTCCTGGCTGGACAAGCCGTTCCCCCGTCTCAAACTGCATGTCCAACCTGCCATAACAGAACACCAGAATTTCTGAACAACACCAGGGATTTGGCCATAAAGATACAACGAAGGGCACTGTACGGTCATTATCTTGAATTCGGTTCTTGGACCGAATTTCGTTATGGGATTGGAGAAAATACGCAAAAGAATATTGAACGGCACCGTACTTGATTTGCTCCTCTGCCTTCTTGGCCGCTGGACGTGGCTCCTGCTTCACGCGTTCTGCCATGGTCGCGAGTTAAGCTGATCTGATCGTCTACGCTTGCAGGCGGACTGGCGTTTACCCAGACGACAGACAGCGACGGAGACAGGCGGCGAATGGACGCGACGGTGCAGCGTTCAGGCTCACCTAAATATCTGGAAGTAGACAGAGCGCCTGAGACGGAATCCTGTACTGCTGCAAGAGTAGCCTCAATTTACTACGGCGGATACAGGAAACGGTCTATCTCGGAGCAGTTTCCTCGAAACGGGGACGAATATGTTCACCACAGCAACTAATTGAGCGAGTTCAAACCCAAGTGCAAGAGCACACGTGTTAATTCGCCGACGGCTCGGAGGAAACTTATACATGCTCAACGCTCCTCTGGTGTGGACAACCATGCAGTCGTAAATGCGGAGCCGCGAGAACAAGTCTCACCAGCTGGTCACCAGAATGCTGCTTTGCCCATCAAAACGTGGAGGCCCTTGGTAATGCTTCAGCAGCGAAAGATGGGCCAGGAAAATGTGGGGAAGTGGAGGGTGGGGGGGGATGTGATATGAGAGCAAGAATGAAATTTGTTTTCCCTGTATAAAAAGAGCTGGTACACGCAGAGGTGGTACACGCGGGCTTATTACAGCTCAAAATTGACACGAGGGGACTTTTCTGCGTGTTCGATAGAAGAACATTCTCACTCCCAGTCAGTGCTCTCTGCTCATTGCCCAACAGCAGCACCCGGTTAGGAAATGTCATACCATAGCCAGAGCTAGCTAGTTCCCCTGCAGCAAGTGCACATCGCACACACACCTCATACAACCTCATCGCCTGCGTGGATGTGAAACTCGAAAGGCCTTCCTGGCCGTCTTGGTGAAATCAGCTCAAACGTGCGACAATGCTGAAGGCTGCGACGATTCGCGAGTTTGACAGCAATCGTCGCTCCAGGCGAGCGCCGGCACGAGCTCGCCAGGAAAAAACACCCAATGGCAGCCCTTCAAGCTCCCCGACCGCAGCAGCCGCAGCAGCGAGAGGAGGAACTGCGAGCTCGAGAGGCTTGACGTCCGCGAAGGAACATGCTGACCATGGCGTTACGAGTCACGGCCACACCCACGCACACAGCCATCACCATCACCATCATCACCAATACAAACCGAAATGGGCCACTCGGTGAGTACATCGTTCATCGCGGTTCATTTCTGCGCTTGAGTCAGCGAAACGCGTGACAGCGTCGACCAAACGTTTTCCTGGCGTGTCGCATTCTCTTCCTTTGCTCGACATCCCTCCCCCTGGCTCCATTGTACCCGTTTCAGTGTAACTCCGTTAACGCAGGAGGAGAAGGACAAGCTGGAGGTGGCAAAGACCCCAGGGCTCCTCGCACCAATGCGCATTTCAGTCAGGCAAAAGGTGACAGATGCGTGGCAATCATTGCCGCATGATGTACGCACTCTTCTGATTATGCAAAAGAAATTGACTGACACTGGACAAAAGATGAGAACGTATCATCGGACGTGAGCAGCCTTTTCCTGTCACTCCTCCAGAAAGAAGCAAAAAATTTATTCCTTTCAAAAGGCCCTATGTTCTCAAATTTCTCCCTACCTCCATTTCTCTGTTTTCCTATTTCCGGCTCCTTGGTGCAGCCCGACAATCCCGAGGAGTTTGAGAACCTTGGCTCCATGCGCACCCGCTTCTCTCCCGCCCTCGTCTACAGTCTTCTCAGAAGCTTTGAGGATGCTCCGCGTGTATATAAGAACATCTCCCACTGTGACGTGGAACCTCTGGAGGAGCCTGGCACCTTCAGAGTCACGCAGCACGTCAAGTGGCGGTTCCTGTTCCTCTCAGGCACATTCGCCACCACGCTCATCTGCCAACGAAACGACGCTGCAAGATCAGTCAACTTCAAGCTGTACGTAGAGCAGTACCCTCCTCTCCTCTCTCTCACTCCCAATCCTCTTCTTCCTATGTTGCCCAATCATCCCTGCGGTTTCTGCTCGACGCATGCTGTCTTTCTCTGCTCACATAGCTGTTGTCACATTTTTTTTTCTCCTTCACTCTCATCAGGGCTGAGCCTGGCTTCATGAAGGCGTTCAGTGGCGGCTGGACCATTCACGACCTGAGTCCTCCAAAGCCGTTGCCCCTTGCATCTGCGTCTATTTCGCCTTCGAAACTTACCCTGAAAGCAAACTTCCTTCAGTCGCTGGCTGCAGCGCTTCCGGGTGCGACAGCGCCAGCAGCTGGAGCAGAAGCATCTCCCGAGGCGTCTGAAAGAGCAGGCAGTGGGACCCCACCTGGTGGATCTTTGATTGAAATGTGGCAGTTGTCGCAGCCTGCAATGGTCCCCCCTCGGCCACTTTGTGAGTTTTCATGTAGCCCACAAAGCCACAATACCGCATTTGCACGATGTTGTGGTCAGAACCATGTTCACATCCTGGTGTACAATGATTCATTTGCCCACATGTCGTATTCTTTGTGTCATGCTTTCGCTGAGTTTTGCAGTGCATTACGTTTATGGCATCATGGAAACCAGCATGCGAGGGATCTTTCAGGACTTGTGCGTTGAGGCTGACCGAGTTGAGAGGTCGGAGAAAGAGGCACCTGCTACTAAGGTTTTTGGTCTCAACATAGGTAATTCTTATGTAATTTATGGTACCGTACCTTGCCGTGTAGGGGTACCATGTGCAGAATTTGAGCAATTATCGAATGGATATTAGCCCTCAGGTTGCACTCGTTAGGAATGCCGCCACATCACCCTCACTTCCACGTCGCCTCGCGCCACTCCACCCGCCACTTCACATTTCCCCTCACCTGTTGCGAAGGCGTGCACTTCGCGCGCCCAATCAAATCTCACCCTTCTCTTTCGCACACCCTTTCCCCCGGACCCGCCAAATCTCCCCGCGCTTTCTCGCCATGCACATTTCATTCACAGCCCCGCCGACCCCCCCAGTTACCCCCTCCTCCCGCAAACCCCCGCCCCGCCAGTTTACTTCCCCCGCCCGTCCTTCCGCCATCCCATCCCGCAACAGCCAATGCCGCGGACCTAGGGAAATCCGACTCCGCCCGGCGATTTTTGTAAGAAGCACTTAATTTCTGCACCACTTTCAGTTGCGTCCTTCCCCTGTCTTAGGTCTCGTTCAGCCGCACAAGGAGAGTTGATCTGCCACGTCAGACTGTTATTCCGATGGCGGCCCTCGCGTCCTCCGCGTCCCTTCGCCTCGCGGCAGCGCCGCTCGCGGGGAAGACCCAGGCGCGCCTCAGCTCGGCGCAAAGCGAGCTCGCGGGACTTTCGCAAGGCTTCGCGAACCTGTCGGTTTCGCGAACTCCCGCACAGCCCGCTGTTAGCCGCGTCGTCACCCCAGTCGCAAGTAAGTCGTTTCTCGTCTTAGGAGAAACGGAGGAGGGTTTACTCCTGGGTTTAGTGCGTAGCTCCCCTGGACTGGTCACTCAGATGGTTCGCGCTGCGACAGCATGTGTTTCAATCTGGTTGGTCCTTAGTTACGCGGCGATGGGCCGCGACGTTTTTCACGACTTCTGCGAAAACGGTGGCGGGGTCGCAAATTGCCATAAACACGGGCTACTTTCTGTAGGCATAGCTATTGCCCCCTTACGTCTGTTGCACGCCTTTCGTCTCAAACAGCGTCGCATTTCTGGCAGCGTGGTTAATGGAATCGCTTAGGTCCCAAAGGCGTCTCTGAGGCTTGCCGTGTTTCCCGGGATGGGTGTGGGAAGCTACATGCACAACATGCTTCCGAGAGCATAATGGCTGAGGCTCCACTGTCTTTACAGGGTTCACGCGTCGTCGAATAGGGAGGGGCCACGCGTTCCTGATTACGGAGCGCATGGGAAAGAGAGTAATGAAATCGCGGAATATGCTTCGGTGAAGCGGCGCAGAGGGTCAGGTCGAGAGGGTCAGGTCGCAGAGGGTCAGGTCGCAGAGGGTCAGGTCGCAGAGGGTCAGGTCGCAGAGGGTCGGGGATCGTCAGCGCAATCGCAGGCGCGGAGTAAGAGAGAGGCGGGGGAGGTTGAGAAACCGGAGGAGCGTGAGAAGTAGAGACTCACCGCGATGTAGAGTGCATGACAGAGAAACTAGAACGAGAGGGACAGGAGGAGGATGAGTAGCAGGAGGAACAGGGCGGGGAGAGGAAGTGCGGATGATGGAAGTGTTGGGGGAAGCCGCATATGAATGGAGGCGGGGGGAAGCCGCGTATGAGGACGTGTGGAAAGCGCAGGGGAATGGAAGGAGGTCAGGCAATGGGGTCGGTTTTTATAGCCGGTTGTCAGCACAACAGCAGGCAAGCGGCCGGCTTTTGTTGGCCTTCTCACTCCGGCACCCTTCGCCACGTTCCCCCTCCCCCCCCTCTCTCTCTCCCCCCCCCCCCCCCCCCCCTTCCCCGCCCGCTTTCCCTCCTCGCCCTCATCTGCCACACATCCCCTTTTATTCCCCAGAGCGGGTGTGCGACCTGGTGGGCAAGAGGCGCAACAATGGATACTCGGTTTCCTTTCCCAACCACCATCTCTCAATTTTAACTCTCTTCCCCCCCCACCCCCTCCCCCCCTTCCCCCCTCGCCCCCCTCCCCCCCCCTCCACCTCCCCCCTCCCTCCCTTCCTGCCGCACATCCCCTTCCCTCCCCCAGAGCGGGTGTGCGACCTGACGGGCAAGAGGCGCAACAACGGGTACTCGGTGTCCTTCTCGAACCACCGCACGAAGAAGGTGCAGCAGCCCAACCTGCAGTACAAGCGCGTGTGGTGGGAGGAGGGGCAGCGGTACGTGCGCCTCAAGCTCAGCACCAAGGCCATCAAGACGCTTGAGTGGAAGGGGCTCGATAAGATGGCGAAGGAGGCCGGCATTGACCTTAGCAAGTTCTGAAGAGTTGGAGATAGTGCACATTTCTTTTGTATGCTTAAATGCAATTAATGTGGTACGTTTATACATATCAAAACACTGTATAAATCCCCCCTGCAAGCGCGCGTGTGGTGGGAGGGTTTCACGCGTGCAGCTCGGCGCGCAAGGCGTTCAAGCACCCGGCTTCGTGGCAAATAAGGAGCCTCGCATATATTTTACATGGTTGCAGTTCTACAGTGAAACGGAGTGCAATTTTTCGTACTTATAATCCAGACCCCGCCATTAGTAGTGTCATACATGTCTTGTCTATCATTTGACAAGACTAATCAAAGCTGTTGTCCAAGTCGCAAATTTGAGAACTAACGGCCGTGCACCTCCAAATTCCAGTCTCGATACGCATGGGTATGTAGTTTTGTCACTGCCACTCTTGGTACTGGCTTCAACCATCACCCCTACAGGTGCAATTAGCAATCTGTAGCAACCACCATGGCATGTGGAACCAGCATCCATGTGTGTAACCACCATCACATGTGTACCATCCCAGCACCACCTTGCTCATTTGCCTTATCCGAGCTGTTGTCTGGTTTTGATGACGCTCTTGAGCGCAGTCAGCCACACACCGCACTCCTCCCAGTCCTTGGTCGTCAGATCGACCTGAGAGTGAGTAAGGGGGGGATGGGGCAGAGAGTAGTGACCCACACACCGACTCCTCCCAGTCCTTGGTCGTCATATCCACCTGAGAGTGTGTGAGAGAAAGTGTCTACGTGAGGGAGCGAGGGGGAAAGTGAAGATTCGGGGGGGGGGGGGGGGGGAGCTTGAGAGCAGTTAGCCACACACTGCACTCCTCCCAGTCCTTGGTCATCAGACCCACCTGAAAGTCTGTGAGAGAGAGAGTGTGTGCAAGTGAGGGAACGAGGGGGAAAGTGAAGATTCAGGAGGGGGGGGGGAGCTTGAGTGCAGTCAGCCACAACCTGCACTCCTCCCAGTCCTTGGACGTCAGATCCATCTGACACTGTGTGAGAGAGAGTGTGCACGTGAGGGAACGAGGGGGAAAGTGAAGATTCAGGTGGGGGGAGCTTGAGAGCAGTTAGCCACACGCCACACTCCTCCCAGTCCTTGGTGGTCAGATCCATCTGAGAGTGAGAGAGTGCACGAGGAGAGTTCGGGGGGAGGAGCTCGAGAGCAGTGAGCCACACGCCACACTCCTCCCAGTCCGTGGTCGTCAGATCCACCTGAGAGTGAGGAGGGCAGTGTGTGATATTGAGTGTGTGGGAGAGAGAGGGGCGGAGGGATGGTTGGGGGGGGGGGGGTGAGTGTGAGAGGAAGGGAGGGGAAGAGTAGGATAGACAGGCAGACGACATCAAGGACCAAACAGGAGGGCGGTCTGATTCAAGAGACTTTAACATTGCACCCACCTGGATGTGCAGGTGCTTTCCTCCCATCCCATCCTCCCCTCACATTCACCTTTCGCCAACCCATCACCACCGCTCACTATCGCTCTCCCACCCACCTGGATGTGCAGGGCAGTGGCGTAGTCCCCAGCGTCCAGCGCCCCGCAGAGTGGCAGCAGCTTCTGGGCCGCAGAGGGCGACACATCGCGCTGGTTGAGGCGCTGCAGCAGCAGCCCCAGCTTCTTGCTGTTGGCCTCCATCTCCCTCCTCTTGGCCGGGTTGCCCCCCGGCCCTCCCACTGCCGCTGCTACCTCCTTGAACACGCGAGTGAGGGTTGATGCCACGGGGCGGAGCTCAGCTGTTGAGAACGACAAGATGAAGATGCGGGGAAAGAGCAGAGGGAGGGAGAAAGGGCAGTGTGAAGAGTCTGCGAGCGCGACACATCATGCTGGTTGAGGCGCTGCAGCAGCAGCCCCAGCTTCTTGCTGTTGTCCTCCATCTCCCTCCTCTTGGCCGGGTTGCCGCAGTGGCCCCTCACTGCCGCTGCCACCTCCTTGAAGTCGCGAGTGAGTGTGGACGCCACTGCATGCAGCTCAGCTGCGGAGAGGAGAGGGGAGGGAGCGTGGAGAGATATCAAGCAGAGTTAGCATGTGGAGGGTGGGGCGCTGCAGCAGCAGCCCCAGCTTCCTGCTGTTGGCGTCCATCTCCCTCTTCTTGGCGGGGTTGCCCCCAGGCCCTCCCACTGCTGCTGCCACCTCCTTGAAGACACCGACCAGCGTGGAAGCCACAGGACGGAGCTGTGGAAGAGAGACCAATGACACAGCGAGGGAGGGAGAGTGGAAGAGAAAATGTGGAGTTGTGTTAGCCTGTGGAAAGACCAACGAAGACGAAACGAAAATGGAGGCATCAGCTGGCGTATGCATAACAACAGTGGAAGTGTTACACTCACGTGCAACGTTGGAGGTGTCAGCAGTTTGCACAGTGGGAGGCAGGGCAGGGGGAGCAGCCTCAGGAGCAGCAGCAGGGGCGGGCGCAGCAGCAGCACCAGGAGCACCAGGGGGAGCTCCCCCAGGGGGGCGCACGCCAGGAGGCGGACCAGTGGGGCGCATCATGGGGCTAGCGCCCGGGGGGAGAACGCCAGGGGGAAGCACCCCAGGGGGAAGGACCCCAGGGGGAGGGCCGGTGGGGCCCACACCGGGAGGGGGACCGGTGGGCATGCGTGGCTGAGGGGGCGGAGCCACAGGGTTGAAGGCGACAGGGCGGGGGCCCTGAGCTGCCCGCACCGCTGGTGGCGGCTGGGTGGGCATCATGGCTCCGGGCTGCATGGGAGGGGGGTAAAGAGGCGCGGGGAGTGGGTGAATGCAGAAGATCAGGGGCGGCGCCACAGGGGTGAAGGCAACGGGGCGAGGGCCCTGCGCTGCCCGCACTGCTGGTGGCGGCGGGTGGGCATGTGATGTGCGGAGGGAGTCTTTGTATTGGGAAAAGGGATAACAAAAGGCATTCACTCATCCGTGCACTTACAGGAGGGCCGGCGGCCGCGTGATGGGCAGAGGGAGTATCTGTGTTGGGAGAAGGGATAAGCCAAGGCATCTCAGCCGTGCACTTACCTCCAGGGCATTCACTCTACTGTGCACTTACAGGAGGGCCGGTGGGCATGTGATGTGCGGAGGGAGGAGGGGCGGCCACAGGGGGAGGCGCAACAGGCATGAAGGACGGCTGATGGCCGGGTGACACGGGAAGGACAGATACATCAGAGTGTAATGAGTCGATTTTTTAGTCGATTACACACGCAACAGGCATGAAGGATGGCTGATGGCCGGTGACACGGGAAGGACAGATACATCGGAGTTTGATGAGTCATAGGTCGTTACACACGCACGGATGGACACGGGAAGGACAGATCAGTGCTTTTGATTCGACTCAAAAGCACGGGAAGGACAGATCAATCGGAGGTCGAGCTAATGAATGGGACTAAGGGAATAGCCAAGTAATGGGATGGGAAAGGGGCTGGAGAACATTGGGTGGGAACAACCAAGCCTGGCAGGGGGGGGTTGTAATGAGTCTGCTTTTGAGTCGAAACAACGCAAAGGAGCTCGAGGGGGGGGGCAGAAGCAGCAGAGAAGAGGAGATGTGAATGGGCATGGGAAACCATGGGAAACCATGGGAAACCACGGGAAACCATGGGAAACCATGGAAAACCATGGGGAACCATGGGAAACCATGGGGACCATGGGGACATGGGTGAATGGGGCTCCTGGGCGGTGGCTGCTGAGGAGTGGTAACACCCCGGGGGAGGTACTGAGGGGGCTGTGAGCGCTGTGGACGCCGTGAGCGCTGTGGACGGTGTGGGCGGTGTGGGCGGTGTGGGTGGTGTGGGCGCCGTGGGCTCTGCGGGCGGTGTGGGTGCTGTACGCGCTGTGGGTGCTGTGGGTGGTGTGGGCGCTGTGGGTGCGACACTGGTAGCTGCACATGATTGGCGACGATCTCACCTGCGCTGCTCCTGCTTGGCCTGGCTGCATGGGCGGTGGATGCTGTGGCATCATCACACCCGGGGGAGGTGCTGTGGGAAGGTCACCCCTAGGGGAGGTGCTGTGGGAAGGTCACCCCTAGGGAAGGTGCTGTGGGAAGGTCACCCCTAGGGGAGGTGCTGTGGGAAGGTCACCCCTAGGGGAGGTGCTGTGGAAAGGTCACTTCTAGGGGAGGTGCTGTGGGTGCGAACCTGACAGCTACAGGCTAAGGACTCACCTGCGCTGCTCCTGCTTGGCCTGGCTGCATGGGCGGTGGATGCTGTGGCATCATCACACCCGGGGGAGATGCTGTGGGCATGAACATGTGTGGCTGGGCGGACGGCGCTTGCTGCTGCTGCTGCTGCTGCTGCTGTTGGTACTGCTGCTGCTGCTGCTGCTGCTGCTGGCTGCTGCTGTTGCTGCTGCTGCTGCTGCTGCTGCTGCTGCTGTGCATAGGACTGAGCAGGAGGGGCGACGGATGGGGGTTGGTACGTGGACGCATAGGAGGATTGCGGTTGGGTGGGGTGCCGTTGATGCTGCTGCTGCTGCTGCTGCTGCTGAGGCTGCTGCGGGCGCTGTGATGGAGGTGGGGTGTGTGCGATCTGCTGCTGCTGCAGCTGCTGTTGTGGCGCAGCCTGAGCAGGGGTTGGGGTCTGTGAGAGACAGGGAGAAGAAGAATGGAGAAAGAAGAAAGAGAAAGAAGAAAGAGAAAGAAGAAAGAGAAAGAAGAAAGAAAAAAAAAAAAAAAAAAAAAAAAAAAAAAAAAAAAAAAAAAAAAAAAAAGAAAGAAGAAAGAGAAAGGAGAAGGGAGCAGCGAGAAGTGTTCAGGAATAGGCTTGGCACAAGGCAAAGCTTGTTAATGTTCAAGTACACAAATTCGGATGCTGGGAACAGCTTATAAGGCGTACAGCAGCAGCAGCAGCAGCAGCAGCAGTGAAGGCCGCAACGGAAACTAGGCGCATACCTGATAAGACGAAGGCTGATCAGGAGCAGCAGTGTCTGCTGATTGCTGTGTGGCATAGTGCTTTGGCAGCAGCAGCTGCAGTGGTGGTGGTGGTGGTGGTGGAACCAACCGCATACCTGATAATACGAAGGCTGGGCAGGCGCAGCAGCATATGCCGATTGCTGTGCAGCATATGGCTTTGCCGCAGCAGCAGTGGTGGTGGTGGAACCAACAGCCACGTTGACTGGCGTGAAAGGGAAGGGAGGGGCGGGCTGCGAGGGATCCACGGCAACTGCAGTGCATGGGGAGGGTTTGGAAATATGGGAATATAAGGATAATCATGTTTGCAAATTCACGAAATTCATATGCTCGGTGAAGGGGAAGGAAGGGGCGGGCAGTGAGGGATCCACGGCAACTGCAGTGCATGGGGAGGGTCGATTGGGGACAATGGAATGGAACCTAGGGATATAATCAGCTCAGCATTCTCGTAGTGCTATGCTCCGTGGATTGAGGAGGAGGGGCGGGCTGTAGACATGGTCTAAACGAGATGCGATGCGATATCGCATCGCATTCTTTCTTATCGCGCATTATATCGCAGCGATGCGATATCGCATCGCTGCGATATGTTAAAAAAAAACCGAAATCGCATATCGCGTTTTAGGGGGCGATATTTAAAAATATAGCCTAAAAAAAGCGATGCATCGCGCGATGCGATATAATATCGCATCGCATTTAGGGGCCACTGTTTTCCCGCCCTAAAAAACGTGTTCCCACACCACAGGGCACGACAATGGTGGCTCTCCTAGTTTCACCAACCATAACAAATTTGAACCCCCACCAAACTCCCCTCCCTCAACCACACTGCACTCCTTCCCATCTAGAATCTCCAACCCTTTCTCTAATGTGCTCCAAGCTCTGCTCCTCACACAAACTCCTCCCCCCCAAACTGCCGCTTGCCATTTCCGCGCGCCATTCAGCAAGAGAAACCTAGACTAGCTTACCATCTATTTTCGCTAAGTTCAGGGCCCTCGCCCATGTCCCTCCAAAGCTGGCGAAATTCCGCGACGCGAAACGCGCAAGTATGGCGCGCGATACCTTTTTATCGCTTATCGCATTTTATCGCGCAAAGAATAGCGCGATAAAAACGCGATATCGCAAATATCGCGCGATATTATCGCATCGCACCGCCGCGATATTCTTATAAAAAAAAGAAGATAAATCGCTATTGCAAAATGCGTTATAACGCGATGCGATGCGATTTAACCATGTCTAGCGGGCTGTGAGGGATCCACGGCAACTGCAGCGCATGGGAAGGTTCGGTTGGGGACATAGGATCACAGGACTAGAAGAATTAAGGCCGTCTGAGAACCTTCCGATTTGAATACGCTCTGTGAAAGGGAAGGGGGGGGGGGGGGGGCAGGCTGCGAGGGATCCACAGCAACTGCAGTGAATTGGAAGAACAAGTGAGAATAGAGGGGGCTCGTTTAAAGTTTGTTATGCAACACGCGTGCGGCCACACACACACATACACACATCCTCCGTTCCCAACCACACACACACACACATACACAAACACTCACACACAACCCACCAAGTCCACTGCGGTAGATCCTCTCTTTCAGCGCAGCAGCAGCCGTGGCAGCCTCGGTCACACGCGGGTCGTTCACACTCTCCTCCCACACACAGAGACAAACCTACACACCGACACACAGACACACATACAGACACCACATACCAAGGCCACTGCGGTAGATCCTTTCCTTGAGAGCAGCAGCAGCCGTGGCAGCCTCTGCCACACTCGGGTCGTTCACACTCTCCTCCCAGGGCGGCAGAAGAGACAGCAGATGCTGTGCGGCCGCCGCCCGGCCCTGCGCTGCCAGTACGGTTGCGTATTCCGAGACGAGGGATGCCGCCCACCTGCCACCCACTCTGCTTTGTCCTGTGGCCAGGCCCAGCACCACTGCTTTCTCGATAAGATCCTGCGTTTTCATTCAAGTGGGGAAGAGGTGGAGAGGAGAAGGTGTGGAGGGGGGGAGGGGGAGACGGGAGGGGGACGCGGACCGGGATAGGGGGGAGGGGGGGCGGGGCGGGGGTGGGGGGAGGGGAGGGACGTCATTCGCGTAATAGATCTCACTTGCATGTGCATGTGCATGAACCGGTAGTAGGTAGTAGGTTATTTTTGAGACGTCGCAAAACTGTTCCTGCCCCTGCCCTTGCAGCAGGCGGGAGCTGGTAGGAAAACGGGAAACCTACTGGGAGGTGCGGCAGCGGAGGGGCGGACTGGGAAGGCTGCACCTGCAGTTAAGTATTTTGAGCCGTCTCAAAACTAACCTACTTCCCCTGCAGCAGTCGCGAGGCCCAGCCCAGATGTCAATGACTCGACACGGTCAATGGAGCCCGATAAAGGAATAGAAAACCCACCTGGAGATGAGGCAGCGGCGGCAAGGCCTGTGCGGGTCCCTGCCCCTGCCCCTGCAGCAGGGGGGATGCGCGGTTGTCGACGACGCGGTCGATGGAGCCCTGTAAGGGAATGGAAAACACACCTGGAGGTGCGGCAGAGGCGGGGAGGCCTGTACGGGTCCCTGCCCCTGCCCTTGCACGAGGCGGGACGCCCAGATGTCGACGACGCGATCGATGGAGCCCGCACACATGAAGCACAGCGTGGCGGCCTGCCATTGGCCCGCCGCCTCCAGGCGCGCTGCCAGCTCATCGCACAGGACTGACCACTCGTGGCTGGGGGCGTACTGCGGGAGGGGGAAGGGGAAGGGGGCAGGGGGAAGAGAGGTTGTATTTTTGAGGCGCCTCAAAAATAGACTCTGGAAGAGTCTGCTTTTGAGTCGACTCAAAAGAAGAGAGGTGGTGAGCACCTGGAAACACCCGCCAGCCCATTGCAGAGCACGGAGCACTCGTGGCTGGGGGCGTGCTGGAAGAGGACGAGGGGGGCCACTGTGCATGGGTGGAAGGCAAAAAGGAGAAGCAAACACAGCAACCAGCAAATGTACATTTCTGGGGAACAAGGGTGAAGAAAACACAGCAAACAGCACTCGAAAAAACAGCTTCAAGAAAGGGCGAGGAGGCTGAGGAGGGGCGAGGAGGCTGAGGAGGGGCGAGGAGGCTGAGGAGGGGCGAAGAGGCTGAGGAGGGGGCGAGGACGACACAGAGTGGTGGTGAGCGAACAGAGGAGGCGGCGGTGACACCAAGGCGGTGACACCAAGGCGGTGACACCAAGGCGGTGACACCAAGGCGGTGACCACCAAGGCGGTGACAGCAAGGAGGAAAAAGAAACGAGAGCACCAATGACCTCAAAAGGGCAGAAATCAGACGGCTCACAGTGCAGAGAATGGCGAGCGTTTCACGCCAGTCGGAGAGAGGCTGCGACGCCACGAGCCCTCTGATATCGTTGCCCACCACTGCGCCCAGCAGCTGCGAGCAGTGGGGGGTGGAGGAAGGGAGGTGGGGCGTGTAAGCGGGTGAAGGGGGGTGGTGGTGAGCACGACGCATGTCATAACTGCCAAGAGCCCTCTGATGTCACTACCCACCACTGCGCCCAGCAGCTGCGAGCAGTGGGGGGTGGAGGAAGGGAGGTGGGGAGTGGAAAGGGGGGAAGGAGTGGTGAGCACGACTAGATTCACAGACGCCACGAGCCCTCTGATGTCGCTGCCCACCACTGCGCCCAGCAGTTGCAAGCAGTGGGAGGAAGGGGAGTGGGGGAATGAGGGAAGGGGTGATGAGCATGTGATGATTCGGACCAGCTGTCTTTAGGACCAATAATTCCTACAAAAGACACAAACAACCCTCACCTTGAGGAAGGAGCGGCGGCGGTTGCGTCGGAGGTACCAGCGCTGGGTGCGCGTCCAGAGGTCCGAGTCAAACCCTGCAACGGCTGCCAGTACGAGGGCGTCCGCCACCCTGCCAGCCGCCAGGCAGCTCTCCACCGCCGCCTCATAGTTCCCAACCACCAGCGCGCGCTGCACCTCCGCCTCCCACTCCCCCCCTCCTTCCCCCTCCTCAACTTCCTCCTCCTCCTCTTCCTCCTCCGCTTCCTCCTCTCCGGTCCCTTCTCCAGCTATCTCGCCGTTCTCCCCTTGGGTTTCCCTTTGGGTTTCACCCTCCGCTTCCCCTGCTGCGGCTGTTGCAGCAGCGGCGGCGCGAGGGGTGTTGTCGCCCCCGGTCAGGTTGTCAAAAAAGTCCACATCACCAATGGGAGACGCCCCTCCGTCCAACCCTGCCCCTGCCGCAACCCCTGTTCCATCAACAGCAGCAGAGGCATCTAGAGCCAGCGCTCCCACCCCTGCTGCAGCTGCCTCTGCTCCTGCCCCTTCTGCTGCTGCTGCGGCTGCTGCTTCGGCTGCAGCAGCAGCGGCGGCGGCAGCAGCAGGGTCTTCTGGGGCGGGCAGTTTAGGGTTTTGGATGTCAACAGGGGGGAAGTCGAGGTGCGCCAGCAGCTTGCGGCGGGCGTCATCTTCAAAGAGAACGGTCAGGAAGTCCCAGGTCTCCTTGTCCTCTGGTGCACTGGAAAGGGAGGGAGTGGAGGACGAGTGAGGGAAGAGGGAGGGAGAGCAGAGAATATAAAATGGGAGGCGAGGGGGAGAGTTGCAAATGAAGAGAGCAGTGAGGGAGTCCCACGTCGCCCTCAGATTCTCTCTACCTCCCCCCGTCACTGCGGCTTCGAACTCATCAGCGCGTGCCACCACCCCATCCTCCATGACCACGCTGTGGGTCGCGACCCTACAATACCACATACCACTCATCACCACCACAGTCCACCACTCACCTCGCAAGCTGCGCCTTGTGCTGGCAGAACGCCTTCAAATTCTCCGTCCCCCCCCCACCACAGCACCTTCGAACTTCTCTGCCCTCGCCACCACCCCATCCTCCATCACAATGGTGTGGACTGTCAAGGCCAAAGCTCATACACCTGTGTTAGTGCATTCCATTCACCACCACCACTCACCCCGCCAGCTGCGCCTTGTGCTGGCAGAACGCCTTGAGATTCTCCCTGTCCCCCCCCGCCACAGCGGCTTCGAACTCGTCCGCGCGTGCCACCACCCCATCCTCCGTCACAATGCTGTGGATTGCCACCTGCCCGGACTTGGACCCGAAACACGCTAGCCGCCCGCCAAAGCCAAAGCTCGCCCCACAGGGCCGCTTCAGCCACTTGGGCGCGCGCGATGTTGCTGCATGGGTGGGGGGTCAAGGAGGTGGGGTGGGGGGAGAAACACAAAGCGAGAGGCGAGGTTCTTAAAGCCAGCCACCGAAGCCTTCAGCCACTTGGGTGCGCGCAACGTTGCTGCATGGGTGGGGGGTAAAGGAGGTGGGTGGAGACGGAAGCAAAAGTGAGGAGAGGTTCTTGGCTCCAGCAACCTGCTGAAGCCAAAGCTTGCACGGCAGGGCTGCTCAGCCACCTGGGCGCCGAGACGTTGCTGCATGGAACGACGGTGGAAAGGGGGATGCCGGGGCGGGGGCGGAGGGGGGGGGGGGAGGGGGTTTGGGGGGAGGGGGGTTGGGGGGAGGTGGAACGAAGGGGATCTTACTTAATAGTGAACCAAAGGCAAAACTCGCCCCGCACGGGCGCTTCAGTCACTTGGGTGCGTGTGCTGTGGCTGCATGGAACGAGTGGGAGGACGGGTGCAGGGGGGGCAGGGAAACAAAGGGGACATAGGAGGAAAAAGAAAAGGGGAAACAACAAAGGGGTTCTATGAGGTTGTTCAGCAGACACATAATCGCGGGATGCATGGCACGGCATGGGATGCATGGCACGGCATGGGATGCATGGCACGGCATATCATCATTCAGGCAGAGCCACCTACCCATGGGCGTTCTGTTGGCGAGCGATGCTCCAAAGTCCGACTCCTTGCTGCTAGCCGACTGCGAGGGGTGGGGTGGGTGGGGCAGAGTGGCAGTGTGCAAGGGGAGAGCATGAGGGTGGTATACGAGGGGGAAGGAGGGTAGCGGCAGCAGAGAGTCAGGGAGGACAGGATACAGACGGTGAGGAGGACAGGAGGAGTATTGGGAGATGACTTTTGCGCCAACTCAAAAGTCCCCTCGACGATGAGGAGGATAGGAGGGGTATGGGGAGGGGAGACGTTGGAGGAAGGCAGAACACGCATGGCGTCAAACGAAGCAGAGCCATACCTCGATGGTGTAGAACGAGACATAGCAGTTCAGGCAAGCAATTCTGTGTCAAGGCACCTTTGAGCGAAGGACGCAGCTTGATGCTGTAGAGCGACAAGTCGATGTTGATGGCGTCCCCCAAGCACGAGGCTGACAGCAGCCCAGGCATGCATGCAGTGGTGCCTTGTGGCACGAGTGCAAGTGCCTTGCGACAAAAGTGCAATTGCCTCAAGGCACAGCGTGAGGCAAGAGAAGACGCACCTCAATGTTGTAGAGCGACACATTGCCATCAAAGCTCGAGGCCGACAGCAGCCCAGGCACGCAGAAGGTGCCTTGAGTCAAGACCCAGCGTGAGGCAGGAGAAGACGCACCTCGATGTTGTAGAGCGACACGTGGCCATCAAAGCTAGAGGCCGACAGCAGCCCAGGCACGCGCGCCGACCACTGCAGATCGAAGTTCCAGTTCGTGCCAGCTGGCAGCTCGCAGAGCACCTGGGGGAAGGGGAAGAGGGGGGGGAGGGGGGAGGCGGGGGGGGGGAATCAGGGGGAGGGGAAGGCAGAGGAAAGGCAGAGGGGAGGGAAGTTCCAATTCGCGCCAGATGGATAGCTCACGTAGCACCTGGGGGGGAACCAGAGGGAAGGCAGGGGTGGTGGTGAGCCTAGGAGAGCGAGAGCAGTGGGGTGGGGAGCAGTGGGGTGGGGAGCAGTGGGGTGGGGAGCAGTGGGGTGGGGAGCAGTGGGGAGGGGAGCAGTGGGGAGGGGAGCAGTGGGGAGGGGAGCAGTGGGGAGGGGAGCAGTGGGGAGGGGAGCAGTGGGGAGGGGAGCAGTGGGGAGGGGAGCAGTGGGGAGGGGAGCAATGGGGAGGGGAGCAGTGGCTGCGAGGAACAATCCGGTTTTTTTTATAAACTTCAGCTCAGTGGACAGTCGTTGCTTGTCTGAGAGCTGTGAGGTTATGCTCCGTGGGTGCAGCACCACCAACGCTATGAAAATCACCGTCATAATTATGAAAATTGCAAGACGGTGCTTCTGGAAGCGGGTTTTGAGACGTCTCAAGACTCCTTGACACAAAAAGCATAACGTGGGCGTCATACGGTGCGTGAAAAGCCCCCTCCGCCAGAGTAATTACCAAGGAAAGTAGTACGCACCTCCCCAACAGAGGTGTCCCAGCAGAGGGTGCGGTTGTCCTTGGCACACGAGAGCAGCAGACCGCTGTCACTAGGGCACCATGCCATGGCCAGCACTCCTGGGAGGCAGTAAGGGGGGGCAGACAAAACATATGAACACCATGCCAGCCACGTGTGACTCGTTGCTACAAGAATCTTGGATCACACGAGAGCAGCATTCCGCTGTCGCTGGGGCACCACGCCATGGCCAGCACTCCTGGGAGACGGGGGGGAGGGAGGGGGGAAGGCGAAATTGGGGGGTGAAATTGCCTGTCAAAGCAAAATTATATTAAACTCCGCCAATATCGCTTGAGGGAGACGGTGGGAAGGAAAAACATCTGCCACCCGATCAAGAAAGTTTTTTGAGCTGCCTCAAAAGACTGCGGAAAGAACAGGCATCTGCCACACGATGACAAAAGCATGGATTCTTCAATTCAATCACCTGTCAACCCGCTTCGACGATCGTCGCCACTCTCACAACATGGGCGAGAGAGCAGTCCAAGGAAACACGGGTCCTACCCTCACCAACGCAGGGAGTCCTCCCCTTGGAGTGAGGGGAGAGAAAAGAATCTAACACTTGGAGTGGGAAGGAGGTGGGAGTCCCAACCTTGGAGTGAGAAGAGAGGAGGGAAGGCTGCCTATGTAAAGGGAGAGGAGGAGGGAGGCTTACCCTTGGAGTGCGAGGTGAGCTCCTTCACAGGTGACATGGCGTTGCGCAGATCCCACACCTGCAGGGAGGAGGGGGGGGGAGAGGGGTAGGATTAGAGAGGAGGTAGCAATGACAAACGTGAGAAAATCCAGCTCCCGACCAATCAAAGGCGTTCGTAAGGTGAGCTCGTTTCGTTCACTGGTGACGTGGAGAGGAGGAGGAGGGAAGAAGAACACGGGAGCAGTGGTTGCATGGCAAGGCTCCAAGGAGCCAAGATAAAGGATGGAGAACTTGAAATGGGCGCCAAGGGGGAAACAACATATGTACCTGCAGGGAGGGCGAGCGGTCGTCGTCGGACGCAACGATGAGCTGAGTGGCGATTTCCGGGTTCCACTGCAGGCAGGAGCAGCAGCTACCTGGGAGGAGGAGAGCGCACGGTTTTCAACAAACCCATAAGACTGCCATACCTGAAGAGACGGCAGGCGGTCGTCGTTGGAGGCCACTTTGAGCTGCGTGGCGATCTCCGGGTTCCACTGCAGGCAGGAGCAGCAGCTACCTGGGAGGAGGAGAGCGATATGATTGCTACCTGAGAAGCTACCTATTTGATTGCCATACCTGCTGAGAGAGCGAGCGGTTGTCGTTCGAGGCGACTATGAGCTGAGTGGCGATCTCTGGGTTCCACTGCAGGCAGGAGCAGCGACGACCCAAGAGGAGGAGAGCGATATGATTGCTACCTGGGAGGTTGCCCGGGTGATTGCCATACCTGGAGGGACGGCGAGCGGTCGTCATCGGAAGCAACGATGAGCTGCGTGGCGATCTCGGGGTTCCACTGCAGGCAGGAGCAGCGCCGCCGACTCACTGGGTCCGCGAAACTGGTGCAAGGTTCAAGGGAACGGAGTCGGGGTTGGGGTTGGGGGGGAGATATTGGAAAGGAGTGTGAGCAGGGGGCTGGAAGGTGAAGGAGAACTGCAGAGCGAAGGGAAGGACAGCATTTGAAGCCAGGACACAAGCAGGGGTGGTGCGGGGGAGGGGGTGGAGTCTATTTTTTAGGCGCCTCAAAAATAGACTCCTCACGGGTGAAGGGGCTCAGAGAGAAAGAGAGAGGGGCGAAAAGGGGGCGAAGGGAGGGGGGAAGAGATGAGTAGAGGGATGGAGAACGAGACAGAGACGCACCTGATGACCTGCTTCTGCTTGCGGAGATCCCACACCACTGCATAGAGGCGAGCATGGCGGAGAGCACGGAGGATAGCATGGAGACGAGCATAGAGGAGGCATCCAGCCAATGTGTGACGTGGGGGAAGGGAGGGGGGCGGGGGCGGGGGGGGGGTGAGTAGAGGACGCGAGGAAGATATCAAGTGTGAGCATGATTGGCTGTGTGGGGTGTGCGAGTGAGTGGGTGGGCACGCGTGTGTGTGTGTAAAATGGAGGGAAAGGTGGGTGGAGAAAACGAGAGGTCGATGTACAAGGAACCCACCATACCACCACAACCACCCACCTGAGAGGTCGCTATAGGACGTGGTGGCGACGATGTGCTGCACCTTACGGTTCACAACGAGACAGCCACACATACCACTCACTCACCACCACACAGCTACCCGCCACCACTGCCCATTGCATCCCTTGCTCACCTGAAAGGCCGCTGTACGAGGTGGTGGCGACGATGTGCTGCACCTTGCGGTTCCACGACAGGCACGATATCTCGCCCTGCGGCCCCCCTCCCGCGCCCTGCACGCACCACAGCACAGCACACCACGAGACACACCAGGAGACACACCACGAGACACACCACGAGACAAACAAAGCAGTCGGGCACTGGCATCCACCAGCGGGTGCCTAAACTTGAGAGATGCGATTCTGGATAAAGAGAATCGTCACCAGCTCTGGGTTGGCCTCGGAACGACTGAACTGGTTCTTGAGATCCCACACCACAGGGTGCCGTCCGTGGTCAAAAGCCAAAACGAATGAACGAATAAACTGGCTCTTGAGAATGCTCAAAAGCCAACTCCACCACAGGGTGCCTACACCTGAGGGATGCGATTCTGGAGAGCTCGAGGCCAGCTCTCAGAACTCTGGGTTGGGTTGGGGTTGGCCTCGAGCTCTGAGAGCAGCAGCTCAGCACACGGCTGGTAGCTGCTTACCTCGAGCGGCTAGAGAGACCAGAAATGCTGTCCAAAGCCATCACCTTGAGCGAGGGACGGTTAATGGGCGGAGGTGGAGCAATCCAAACTCACATTGCGCGAGCGGTAGAGGTTCAGGCGTACTGTGTAACTAACAATACGCACCTTGAGCGAGGGGTGGAGGTTCAGGTGTACCGTGTAACTAACAATACGCACCTTGAGCGAGGGGTAGAGGTTCCGGTGTAATGATCCAGACTGACCTTGAGCGAGGGGTAGAGCGAGGGCGCGGAGGGGTTGGCAAGGTCCCAGATGCGCAGCTCGCCGTCCTCCGCTCCTGACGCCAGCAGATTGGGCGAGGCCGCGTTGAACTCGAGCCCACGCACCTGGCGTGCAGTGATTACATGTGATATAGGGTACAGTGAATACATGTGAGAACTACAGTGAAGACGAGAATGGAAACGGGAAAAATGAAAACGAATACGTAGCGAACTGATGATGCGGCAGGCAGACGGGCGTGGGATGGGCTCCATGAGACAACAGCAGGCCGGAAAAAACGAAGCTACTAAAAAATGAGGCGACTAAAAAATGAGGCTACTAAAAAATGAGGCGATCTGATAGAGCAGGCAGAAGTGCATGAGCGAAAAGAGGAAAGAATGAGAAATTGAGAAATTACTGACAAGCGGCAATCAATGCTGCTGACGGTGCCGATCCAATTCAGTCCCATTACCATTACGGCAGGCTGCTGCAGTGCCGATTGAAGAACAAGAGGCCAGTTCTCATTGAAGTCATCATCGAGACATGCTACCTTGAAGCCACTGTCCTCTTGTGCTCTAACTACCCTTGTTCAACTCACCGCTCCCTTGTGCTTGGACATCTTGGCAACTAGGGCTCCTTCTCCCTCCCCCGCCTTGCCACTGCCATTCCAGCAACCGCAGCGCAACAGAAATGAGAAACGAAGGGTGAGAACGACTCATTTGAGCAAGACGCGATTGGGGAACACACTGGACACTGCTGCAACGCCCAGATGCAGGCGACACCCTGCGTCTGACGTGTCAGCAGCCAATCGCGTCCGGAGAGCAGTCACAATCGCTCCTACCAGTTGTAAAAGAACTGACCAGGAATGCCGGATCCCATCACGCGAATAAGTTGCATTCCACCGCCACTATACCCCCCCCAGGAGATGGGAAACAGCCTGGAATTGAGCCGCATTCGCCCAGCGCCAACACAACGACTCCGAAAGCCTTGTGTCGCAACGCAACAATGATGCGCGAGAGAGAGAGGTGCTTCGCGTGCATCATTATGGGGTAAATTGCTCGGTCGCACCTCATAACGACTCGCGAGCAATCGCACCTGAGAATGCGCGCCGGTTTTCGACGTCCCATTCACCAGGGGAATCCCGCGCAGTGCCATTCACGAGGCCGCCCGAGATAACGCCATCGCTGAACACCTCTGGTTGCGGCACTCTTATAGCGAGTATTTGATAGCGAGATTGAATACAAACACAATGCCTAACAATCTGCGCGGTGCCATACCTGATGATCCGCGCGGGATTCCAGAGCGAAACAGTACCGTCCAAGCGGCCACCCGCGGAGGCAAGGGTTAAAACGCAATGCCGAACGATGTGCGCGGTACCACACCTCATAATCACCGCACCTAATGATCCGCGCGGGATTCCAGAGCGAAACAGTGCCGTCCACGAGCCCGCCCGCGATAATGCCGTGGCTGAACACCTCCGACTGCTCCACGCCGCACGACCCCCACGACAGCCGGTTAAAGCGGTCGCTCGACGTCGCAGACCCCAGCGACGGAAGATCCGACCGTCCGCCCGCCGCTCCCGCGCTTCCCGCTCCTCCCCCAGCAGCCTTGGCCGCGGATTGGTCAGGACTGCCGAGCCCGCCGAAAAAATCGTCCGGCGACACGTCAGCAACGTTTCCAAAGGTTCCGGCCGCGCCGGCGCCAGCGCCGGTGGAGGCGGAGGCAGATGCGGTGGGATCGGCCTCAGATGCGGTGGTGGAAGCGAACTCGAGGCGAAAGATCTCGAGCGAGGCGGAGGAGGAGAAGGAGAGATCGATGGCCCCCGCCATAGTGCCCATCGCTATAAGCGGCTCCGTCGGCGCGAAGGCCACCGTGGCCGATCGATGCACCTCGCACAACGCCATCTTGCCGACTAGTCGATCAGACTATCAGTTTTTCCGGAGTAGTGATTATTCGAAGCTCCCGCTTCGACAGGATGCTTCTTTTAGTTCCTGACCAGGGGGTTACGACCGACTTCAAAATTTCCAGAACTTTCAGTGGCAGGACCCTGGCTCTCGCCAGATCAACGGCGTAGATCGACGAGCACACGACGCGCTAACAGGCGCTGCGACGCCGTACTCGCCGGGGCTAGGGCTACGGACCTGCCCGAACCAACTAATTATTGTATGCGACTGGCTAGGAAGAATTTCCCTCTCGATCCAAGATGCTCGGAGCCCTTGGGAATGGATCTTCCTGCATCGGCTGCAGGTCCTGCTGCTCTTGTTGCTGTACCCTTCATTCCGGTTTGGAGAGTTTCTTCGCGGTGAAGAATGTTAATCTGTTCTTTCAGTACGGTTGAGTAAGCTTCTGAAGCCACAGCCACGCCCTGAAACCATTGCGACAGGTAAGGTTCCTGTGAGGGGGACAGGAGAAACTAGGGGGAATAAAGCTAGTACAGAGGCAAAGATCAGTGTAGTTTTATGCCAATCTATAACAGCCTCATTTTTTTCATAGTCAAGAGGGTGACTATTCTACATGTCTTAAAAAATGAATTTATCTAGAACATTTATGTAGAATATAATGAGAACCTTTGTTCCTGTAGAAGTGAACCACGTGTTTAGGGTGGCTAGGATCTAGAGTTGGTGGAACCATGAGTAAAATTCATCGGAATAATTTACAACTTGTATTGGAAATGTCCGAAACGACAAGGATAATAATTATGGATAATACATACAAATTTATAGGATAGGAAGTACCTATTTAGAATGTACCTGTTCGTAGTGTATCGCGACCATTCGCATGACATGACTAGTGACTGTTCGTGTGACTGAAAGTGGCGTGACTGAAAGTGGCGTGACCCTTCGGATGACTATACGCGCGAACCTACTGTCCACGCGTTAACTCGCTACTACAGACTTCATCACGCAAGTCCTTCCATATGAGGTATCGCGCTAATAATACAGTCTGAGTGTTGCATCAGGAATGCATAAGTAAACTCTGTCGAGAATACTTCAACACTCCCATTAATTCCTGAGTGTATGTCTTAGGGGAAGTGTCCTCGCGTTTGCAGATTCCAACCAGGTTGGAGCAGTATTGAAACTTGTCGTGTGGGAGTTTCTTCGTCAGAAAATCAGCTGCCATTTCTTCTGTAGGGCAATATTTCATTATGACCTTCCCTTTTTCGATTTCGTCCTTGACGAAGAAGTAGCGAAGGGCAATATGTTTTGTCCTGTTGACGAAGTCGGGCTTGTTTGCAATCTTGATCGCACTCTGGTTGTCGCACAGTAACTTGAAGTTTTCGTATTGTTACGATTTTCGCCTCTTGAAGTAACTCTTGAAGATGGAGTCTTTTGCGAACTGCAAAGCTTGCTACGATGTATTCTGTTTCGGCTGACGAAAGTGCGATGACCTTTTGTTTCGTTGAGTTCCAAGAAATGACACCAACTGGTTCAATTTTGAAAATGAACCCTATATGCGAACGCATGTTGTCGGGGTCAGCAGCATGATCCGCATCAACGTATCCAGTTAGTATAAATTTTGCTGCTATATTTGTCGTGTAGCTGAGACCGACTGGAGGGCTCGACGAAGATCGGCCATATTCTCCCCTTCAAGTCGGCGCAGGTACTGTGCGGTTGACTCATGATGTAGGCAAGATCTGGGTGGCATGTAACAGCTGCAAATAGAAGACACCCGAGCAGCTGCTGGTAAAGCTGATGCTTGGAGGTGGTAAGTAGGGTAGTATCAGGTGTGTGTTTGGCCGAAATGTGAAGAAATGGAGTGGTGACGCCGATAGGAGCGATGGCGAACTTTTTCGCAAGTGTTTCTGCGTACTTGCTTGCAGAAAGATGGATCGCATCGGGGTCGGAGTCAACGTTTAACCCAAGAAATTGGGTAACGTTGGAGGAAGTAGTCATTTTCAAGAATCGTTTGGATTCTTTCCTCCATGCGCGCCAGAAAGCTGTTGCACGAGCCGGCGTATAGTAAGTCGCCCACGTAGGCGACTAGGAGAATGTAATTCCCCTGAAATTTGATTATGTACATTCTAGAATCGTGGGGCAGCTGCACGAAGTCGAGTGAAATCAACACTTTGTCAAGATGCTGCTGCCATATGAAAGGAGCCTGTTTGATGCCGTAGAGTGACTTAACAAATTTGCAGATGTGGAGTGCGTCGCCGTACGTGTGAGGGAGTTCGACGAAAATATCTGCATCGACGTCTGCGTATAAAAACACATTTTTAACGTCCATTTGGCGAAGTGGAAGGTGGCGGCTGATAGTAATGGCGAGAAGAATTCGAACTGAGGTATGATGGCTGACCGGAGCAAAAATCTGGTCGAAATCGATGCCATGGGTTTGTTCAAAACCTCGAACGACCCATCTCCCCTTGAATCTATTTGGTTCGCTTGCTGCGTTTGTCTTTATTTGAAACACCCACTTGCCCGAAAGATTTTTCTTGTCGCGTGCTGCTTTGCGTGGAACGAGTTTCCATGTTTTCCACTTCTCGAGAGCTGCTACCTCTGCATCCATAGCTGCTTGCCACTTGTGAGCATCAGAGCCGAGGAGGGCCTGCTTGACTGTTTTTGGCTCTATCCCAATCGTTGGTTGTTGAACTGCGACAGCAAGTCTGAGGATCTGAAGAGCCGATTGGTCACCACAAGGATGAGGTTGGCAAACTTCGCAATGTCATCATCGTCAATTTCGGATGGCAGATGGCGGGCACCGTCATGTTATGCTGCGTCAGTTTTCTGTCGGTGCAAGTGCTCCTCATAATTATAGGCAGCCTGTGTCGTGGCAGGACACAACGGGTCTGAGAGGGGAATGAAGAGCGGTAATTCGGTGTTGTTGGCACATGTTGAAGGAATATAAGAGTCGAACAGTGGTTTGGCTGGTGACGTAGACTGCTGCGGAACTGTAGAAGGTCCTGCTGCTACACTAGAGGGTGGATAATATTTTTCGGCTGCATCTGCTTTGTCTTGAGGGGTGGCGAAACTCCGTTCGACAATGTAGTGATCAGGATCTCGCTGTTGGCGTTCCTTGTCGCTTTCGAAGTCCTCAAGAAAAAATTTCTTGTAGAAGGTGCTGTCTCGGGCATACTAAACCTTTTGGGTTTCGTAATCCATAATTATGCAGGAGTAGGAATCCTTATGTATTCTGAGGTGTATTCCTCATCGAGCTCGTTCAGTAAATCTGCGCACAGTTGCGTTCGTAGGTCTATATAGGACCATGCAGCCCCAAACTAGTAAAAGTCGCGTGTCGGCGGGGTGTTTTGTCCACATGACGTGTGGCGACTTGAACTGAGGGAGAGTTGTCGAAGACTAACAGTTGTGTAGGCGGACAGCTTGCGCCATTGCAAACGGCCAAAAGTCTACTGTCAAGTTGGACTGTTGCAGAAGCGCATGCATCTTCTCTTGTAGCGTTCTGTTCATCCTTTCAGCTACTCCATTCTACTGATGGGCGTAAGGCACACTCTTGCGCCTGAGTATCCCTCTCCGCACCAGGAATTCATCGAACTACTCGCTAGTGTACTCGCCCGCGTTGTCTGCTTGGATCTCTTTCAGCTTGATGCCGCTCTGCCGCTCCGCGAGTTTCAGCCATGTAGCTTGAAGGCGTCGAGAGCTTTAGACTTGTGAGAGATATTCTTTTGCCAGACGTATCGAGTAGTACCGTCGATAAAGGTAATGATATAGCTATAGTTGTTGCCGCTTATATCCTCTGCTTCCTACGACATGAAGAGTATGTCGCCGAAGTCGACGTCCATAGGTGAGTACTTAGTAGCACTTGGAAAGTGCGTCGTGAACGGAGCATGAGTTAGATGAGCTCTAGGGCAGATGGTGCAGGGTAGTTGATGTGTGCTAGGTCGAAGCTCTTGGCCGTTGGTCAAAAGGAGTGTGTCCTTGTCAAAAACTGAGGCTTTAATTAAATTATTGAGAGCTTCTTGCGATGGATGACCTAACCACTTGTGCCAGAGTTCTGCTGTAGTCATGTGTCCCTTTGAACGCAGGTACAAATTGGAGTGAAGGAAGAAGGCCAGCGAAAGGTGAATCGGTGGCGCAGGGTTAACACAATGGCCGATGCCGAAAGACTGGATGAACCCGGCTTTTTTCTGTCGTTTCAACCCAAGATATCCAAGATGTCGGCGACGCGCCCAAGCATCAGGTATGATTAATTCTTTCTTGCCCCATGTGCTTTCAACCTCCATAGGTTCTTCGACTGTAGTACATGTTGGTTCTTGATTATCGTAACCCCAATTTCCATCTCCAGATGCCCATGTACTTTGAACTGTTTCTGGTGTTGCTGATGCTGCTTCTGTTGGCTCTGCTAAAGGGTTGGCGAGAGAGTTGGTGCGAGAAGGCTGAGGCGTGACGCAGAAGACATTGAGACCACGATGGTCTTGGCGTTGAAGATCCGTTTCCCAGTGATGATGCCAAGGAGCAAGTGGGACATTTTCCTCACTATCGGTAGAAGCTTTCATATGTGAAAATCGTAAAACGGAAACGTCGTCTTTATCTTCTGCGATGCTAACTAGGTTGTTTATGTCTTCCTTCTTGTCGCCCAGGTACAACTCCGTGAGCATCGTGTTGGCGCTGCTAACAAGGCAGATGCCAGTTTCCATCAGCTGCGCTTGTGATAATAGGTTGAAGCCGAGTCCTGTGGCGACGAGAACCTTGTAAAGGTGAAGTGAAACTTCAGTGTCATCGGACTCTAGTATCACATCTTCGATTCTGGTGGCTTCAATAACTTGATTGTTGGCCACTATGATGTTGCATTTTTCTCCTTTTGGCAGCTCTCCCCAGTTGAGAAGATATAGACTTGAAGACGCCACGTGGTGACCGCAACAGCTGTCAAGAAACCAAGTATTAACGTGTTCGAAATATGTATGCCTCGCGATGTGGGCGTACGGCTGCATGTTCAACCGTCGAGGAAACCCGTTCAGCTGCTCTGGTTCTTCCTCATTAACAACTGTTGGTTCTGGAGATTCTGAACGAGGACGAAGACGTGGAGGTGGGCTGAATGCTCCTTCTTCCATGTCACTGTCACTGTCATTGTCTCGTCGGCTCCAGTAGCGTATACCACTAGACTAGTGTGGTCCAATCATGCAATTAATGATTGCCTTGCCTTTTGCAGGTTGAATTGAAGAAGCTAAAGGCAGCGAGATAGTCTTGATAGGGGTGACTTCACCCGACTTCTCCCGATTCCTGTTCTTTAGTTTC